CATGGCAAATTCCAGTGGGCCCACTGTGCCACCTGATTGGTTGACATCAGTGCCAACCTCGCGTAGCTTGGGTTCATGCAGTACGAGGCCGGAATCGCGCACGGTGCTGTGTTGTCACTGTACCTGTGACCCCTTGACTGCCGTGTACGGTAGTCACGTCCAAGCTTCCTCACCCAAGCTTGCTCTTCTCTTCGTCAAGCGGTTCCAGTGCACGTCTTTGACAAGTGCTCGGCAGGCTGTGAGAGCGTCTCCTTCCTGTGCACGAGGGTATCGTCTTTAAAGTCATTTCTCCCATGGCGAGTGACATCGACCTGCCTTAGTTCCCAAGCATGGCTTCATCTCCAGATTCTAGCAGTACGGTAGATAGGCGGCAGCGGCCTGTTTCCACCAATCAGACTAGCGCTTCTGCACGCGCACGGACGTCTCCTCGCTCGATCTTTCCTCAGCCGGATGCTCCCGGTAGTGCTTCTACCAGGGATGAACCGAGCAGTAGCTTGGACCGTCCTCGCCCTACCCTTCCTCGAGTTGTTGTCCCCACGTTCCCGGAGCGGAACCGCCCGCAGGGACAGCAGAAGAGCAACGCCGATGCTGACCCGCCATCCGCGATTGGAAGAAGATGAGGGAGCGGCTGGAGGTCTCTTCCAGCTGCCGTCGTCGCCTCATGGGAGCTGGCCGCAAGTCCAAGTTCCCTTTCATGGAACGGGCGGTCTACCGCCAGTTCCTCAAGCACAGGGGGAGGGGGCTCGCCGTTTTGGTCAGCATGCTCCAGAAGTGGAGCGCCAAATACATGAAGCACCGGATGCCCGGGGTCAACTGGCGCGCATCGTTCCGCTGGGCGACTCGTTTCCGCGCGCGCTGGCATCTGGCGAGGCGGGTGAAGACGAAGATGGGACAGAAGTTGGCAGCGGGTAAGTGTTGCGCCGTCGTGCTCCTTGATTGCCATCTCAGTGCTGAGCTAATGTGTCTCGTGGCTTTGCTTGCAGATTGCAAGGCCAAGGTGGAGTCCTTCTGGGAGTTTGTGCGCCAGATGCACTCTCTGCACGACTACCCGCTTGACCTCATCTTGAACGCGGACCAAACCTCGCTTTTCCTGGAGATGCCGGCGGAGCGCACGCTCGAAATGAAGGGAGCGCGGACGGTTCACGTACTGAGTGCAGGCTATGAGAAGGAGCGTGTTACTGTCATGCTGGCAGTAACTGCGAGCGGGCTCAAGCTGCCGCCGTACGTGGTGTTCAAGCGCAAGACCATACCGAAGGTGCCCATCCCTGCCGGTAAGCGTAGCACGTTTAGGATGATGTCACTGCTCTAGCCTGTCAACATTCGCAACCGAATTTGACCCTGACGTACCGGTATTCTTTGGCAGGTGTGGTGGTCCGTGCACAAAACAAAGGGTGGATGGACGAATCACTTGTGCAGGACTGGATCACCCAGGTGATGGTGCCGTTTCTGAAGCCCTTGCGTGAATCAACTGGACGCCGCAGGGAGGCCTTGGTTGTGCTCGACTCCTACCGCGGCCACTTGACTGAGGCGGTCGGGCAGACCATGCGGATGTTTCGGCTGTCACGGGCTGTCATCCCAGGGGGCTGCACTCCGCTAGTGCAGCCTCTGGATGTGTCCATCAACCGCGCGGTCAAGTGCGGTGTGCGTCATCGCTACAGTGGCTGGTTCGAAGAAGAGGGCATCAACACCACCACCAAGTCCGGTGAGTTGAACCATGACATCCGCATGTGTAACTTTGAATCAATGTCGGCTTACGCTCTGGAAATTCACATTTGTCCTTCTCTACCCTTCCCCGTCCCTCAGGCAATCTCAAGAAGCCGCCAGCGGAGTTGGTGCTCCGCTGGATCGATGAGTCCTGGGAAGAAATCCCAGAGGAGCTCGTGAAGAAGGCGTTCGTCACGTGTGGGATCTCCACCCCCATCAATGGCAGCGAGGACCACCTCATCCTTGCCCACATGCGGGACAAGGGTGAGGTGGAAGTCCTTGACGACGTCAACGACCTGGTTGACGACGAGCTCGTCGTCAACCCCTTCTACGCCGAAGTCCCCATGCCGGCCGAGGAGCTGCAGGCGGCGGCAGAGGAGGCTGACGCCGCTGAGGAGGACGCGGAAGCGGCGGCGGCAGAAGAGGAGGGGGGCGTGCTTGAGGAAGGCGGGGAGGCAGAAGAGCCCAGCGATGACGAATGGTGGCGCCCTGGCCGCTTTGACGGGGAAGACTGTGAAGAATGGCATGCAGGAGACGATTCTGAGTAGAAGGCACTTTGTATAGAGTTTTTTTAGGTGAAATTGTGGATGTGAGGTGCTCTTGTGGTGATGTTTCTGCAGTCTAGGTGACATTGTCGATGACTATGTGCTGGCACATTACTTCTGTAGTACCTGTAAAGTACCCTGTATGCAATGTACAGTAAGCAAATTCAGTATTTTTGCCGCCCATAACACCCCCCCGGGTCTTATAGAGAATCAGGCAAAAAGGGGGGTATGGTAGAAACGAGGCTCCCCATAACACCCACCCCGCACAAGCTACCCGGGGGTGTACAATTATGGGGGGGTGTTTTGTCCGGGAGTATACGGTATAAGCGCCGGCGCTTATAAAAATCCTCGATTATAAGCGCACCCCCTAAAAAACAGTGTTTTTTTATACCCCCAGGGGCACTACTATCCGGGGGCTTACGGTACAAACGAGGTGGGTTCAAAACAAGAGGTTTGAAGTAAACAAAAAAAGTTCTTACCGTATTCCCCCGCATAGGCGGGGGGGGGGGGGGGGGGGGGGGGGGGGGGGTCTAAACAAAAGAAAAAAAAAATACTACTCGGGTTTTTTCATATGACACAAATTGTTTTAGTGTTTTGAACACAACTGTTAATACTGAACTTGCTGGTCTGCTTTTGGCGAGCAACAAGAGAGCGAATCGTTGTTCGCTTGGAATGACCCTTGACCAGTCACAGCCAGGCCCTCAGATTTCAGGAATTTTACCCTGATTTTGTCTTTGAACCCTGATTTTCAGGGTATTTTTAGGTCCCAACCCTGATGAGAAAGTTTTTTTATTCATGCCTACACTGTTTTTTCAGCTAACTTTCTTGTACCAGGCCTGAAATGTCAGCCTACTTTTGCTAGGGGACCCTGATTCGAATCATACAGTAGTGGGGCCAACCTTGTTAGCGAAATTGCCTAGATTCTATGAATCTGGCAAAAAAAATCGCCCAAAAATTTCGCCGTCACCGTCAATCACGTGAAACGGCATCTTAGGGCTGTTTCCTACACCCCCCTTATCTTTATCTTGTCAGACTCGCCTCAGACACCATTTGTTTGGTTTAAACCGACTCTTCATTTCACTTTTTGTTGATTGGCGAAGTGCAAGACAGAATGCGTGGGGTGACGTGGCACTGCGCAACGCTCCCGAAAGGTTGTTGAGGAACATTCCCGACTGTTGCTTGCGAGCGCTTGTCTGATTTTGTCTCGTATGTTTGAACGTGACAAAACAGAGACCTTTAGCACACGCGATTGCCTAACCTGGACCACCATTGGTGCACCACCACTGTCTTCCTCCCCCCGTTCCCATCACATTATGATGAAGGCTGGTTACATCAGCGTTAAAAAATGTACCAGCCCTGATAAGAAAGTTTTTTTTTTATGTGACAACACTGATTTTTCAGGGTTTATTTTTGTAACGACCCTGACAGAGTTTTTTTTTTGGACCAACACTGATGAGAAAGTGTGGCCCAAAACGAATCTGAGGGCCTGGTCACAGCGTTGCCAGAAACCCTTGACCAATCACAACGCATTCGCCTCTGACAGCAAAATCCCCCCCTCACGCAGCGAATTCGCCTCCCTGGCGCAGCAAATTCGCCCCCTGATGCAGCAAATTCGCCCCCTAGGCGCAGCAAGTTCGCCCCCTGGCGCAGCAGATTGACCCCCTGTCTCTGCGATTCCACCCTCAGACAGTCCAATTACGCATCATAACATGTTTCGGTTTAAATTGTTGATTAAAAATCTACATGGAAACCCCCCTATAGAGGAAGGGGGGGGGGGTCTTCTATTGTTCACCCCTCAAAAGGGGGGTATAACGATTTCGAGCCTTAATAAACACTCCCCCCCGTATTAGCTACCCGGGGGTGTTCCATTTTGGGGGGGTCTTATATCCGCGGGAATACGGTATCGAACCATAAATCGCTTCGACTTCGACAGCATTTGAGCCTTCCCCTCCCCACCACCGGGGAAATCACGAAAGAAGCCATGCATATCTTGGGCAATTTTCAACGAATTCCGTGATCCAGGCGCAGTTGAACGAGCCCATGCAGCAACGTGTAACAACACCAACAGTTGCCGGGTGTTGCTCACTAGTAAAGTGGAATGACCGACCACATGAAGAATAGAGTCGTGTCGGCTCAAAACACGACTCACTAGTAAAGTGGAATGACCACGTGAAGAAAAGACCGCCGCCACTGTAGGCGCGAGTTTTTGAGTTGACTCAAAAACTGGGTGTTGCTGTTTTTGAGTCGGCTAAGAAACCGGGTGTTGCTCACTAGTAAGGTGGAATGACCTCGTGAAGACAAGACCGATCCACTGTAGGCGCGAGTGGAAGGGGCAATAAGACATTACCCAATCATAAGCCCCGACCTCTTTTACCAGTTTTTATTAATACTTAGTAAATGAATGGGGAAGAGTGGTTGGAGCGAAGAGGAAGCGGTGGAAGCGCACTGGGAGTGACTGATAGCACTGTACGCTCTCTCAGACGCTAGCAGTCACTCTATCACTCATTCCTTCCGCTCCCACCTGCTCGCCGCCCACCCACCCCTCCCAAATGCCCTTCCACCGCTCGCTACAGCGGTAGCAGTCATTGTCACTGCGCTTCCACCCCTCGCCCCGACGGTAGCAGTCTGTGCATTTGGGAGAGGTGGGCGGCGAGCAGGTGGGCATCCACTGGCTTCTGCAGCACACCGTCAAACCCCCCCTCTGCACACCTCTGCACCACTCCGCGATCCACGTCTGCTGTCAGAGCCACTATGGGCACCCACAGGGGGACTGCGGCACTTAAAGAAGCAGCAGCAGCAACAGCAGCAGCAGCAGAAGCAACGTTAGAGGATTCGAGGGGAGGGATTAGCAGAGCAGACGAAGTAGCCCTAAATTTGACCTCAATTTGACCTTTTCCTCCCGCCTCCCGTCGCAAGAAACTCTCTCCCCGGCCCCCTCTCCCCCCCATGCGTCCCCCCCAGTCCCCTCCCCAGCTCACGCCCCGCCTGTGCGTCTCCCCCGGCGCTGCTGCTCCCCTCCCTACGCCCTCCCATCTGCCTCCCTGCTGCAAAGATTCCACTGTCCCAGTCTGTTCCTCTCTGCTCGCCATGCTTCCGTGCCTTGCCGTTGCACCTGAACCCCCTGCACCAGTTGAAGCCACTGCACCAGTTAAAGTCACTGCACCAGTTGAAGCCACTGCACCAGCTAAAGCCACTGCACCAGTTGAAGCCACTGCACCAGTTGCCGGCCCTGCTGCTACTGCTGCTGCTGCTACTGCTGCTGCTGCTGCTGCTGCTGCTGCTGCTGCTGCTGCTGCTGCTGCTGCTGCTGCTGCTGCTGCTGCTGCTGCTGCTGCTGCTGCTGCTGCTGCTGCTGCTGCTGCTGCTGCTGCTGCTGCTGCTGCTGCTGCTGCTGCTGCTGCTGCTGCTGCTGCTGCTGCTGCTGCTGCTGCTGCTGCTGCTGCTGCTGCTGCTGCTGCTGCTGCTGCTGCTGCTGCTGCTGCTGCTGCTGCTGCTGCTGCTGCTGCTGCTGCTACTGCTGCTGCTGCTGCTACTGCTACTGCTGCTGCTACTGCTGCTGCTGCTGCTGAGTTCTGAGGCGCCTCTATAACCGTTGCAAGCCCTGCTGCTGCCGCTGCTGCTGCTGCTGCTGCTGCTGTATCCACATCCATCATCAGTTGGGCCTCTGCTGCTCGCTCCAACATCAGTTTCCTCTCCAGAGCTCGAATCGCCTCTGTTGCTGCAAACCTGTCAAGGGTGGACAGGTGGACAGATGGACAGGTGGACAGGTGGACAGGTAGCCTGGTTGAAAAGGTGCCTCTGTGTTTCAGATAGCCAGTTGGGCCTCTGCTGCTCGCTCCAATATCAGCTTTCTATCGAGAGCTCGAATCGCCTCTGTTACTGCGAATCTGTAGGGGGGGGGAGAACGGAACGTTTGACTTGGCTTGGAATATGATAGCTTGAGGGATTAGGATGAGGCATAAACATTACTTTTACCAGTCATCTGCAGTTGCAAAACCATGCGGCATACCCAAAACCATGCGGCATACCCAAAACCATGCGGCATACCCAAAACCATGCGGCATACCCAAAACCATGCGGCATACCCAAAACCATGCGGCATACCCAAAACCATGCGGCATACCCAAGACCTTGCGGCATACCCGAAACCATGCGGCATACCCAAAACCATGCGGCATACCCAAAACCATGCGGCATACCCAAAACCATGCAGCATACCCAAAAGCATGCGGCATACCCAAAACCATGCGGCATACCCAAAACCATGCAGCATACCCAAAACCATGCAGCATACCCAAAACCAAGCGGCATACCCAAAACCATGCAGCATACCCAAAACCATGCGGCATACCCAAAACCATGCGGCATACCCAAAACCATGCGGCATACCCAAAACCATGCGGCATACCCAAAACCATGCAGCATACCCAAAAGCATGCGGCATACCCAAAACCATGCGGCATACCCAAAACCATGCAGCATACCCAAAACCATGCAGCATACCCAAAACCAAGCGGCATACCCAAAACCATGCAGCATACCCAAAACCATGCGGCATACCCAAAACCATGCGGCATACCCAAAACCATGCGGCATACCCAAAACCATGCGGCATACCCAAAACCATGCGGCATACCCAAGACCTTGCGGCATACCCGAAACCATGCGGCATACCCAAAACCATGCGGCATACCCAAAACCATGCGGCATACCCAAAACCATGCGGCATACCCAAAACCATGCGGCATACCCAAAACCATGCGGCATACCCAAAACCATGCAGCATACCCAAAACCATGCGGCATACCCAAAACCATGCGGCATACCCAAAACCATGCGGCATACCCAAACGGTGCGGCATACCCAAAACCATGCGGCATACCCAAAACCATGCGGCATACCCGAAACCATGCGGCATACCCAAAACCATGCGGCATACCCAAAACCATGCGGCATACCCAAAACCATGCGGCATACCCAAAACCATGCAGCATACCCAAAACCATGCGGCATACCCAAAACCATGCGGCATACCCAAAACCATGCGGCATACCCAAACGGTGCGGCATACCCAAAACCATGCGGCATACCCAAAACCATGCGGCATACCCCAAACCATGCGGCATACCCAAAACCATGCGGCATACCCGAAATTATGCGGCATACCCAAAACCATGCGGCATACCCAAAACCATGCGGCATACCCAAAACCATGCGGCATACCCAAAACCATGCGGCATACCCAAAACCATGCAGCATACCCAAAACCATGCGGCATACCCAAACGGTGCGGCATACCCAACACCATGCGGCATACCCAAAACCATGCGGCATACCCAAAACCATGCGGCATACCCAAAACCATGCGGCATACCCAAAACCATGCGGCATACCCAAAACCATGCGGCATACCCAAACGGTGCGGCATACCCAAAACCATGCGGCATACCCAAAACCATGCGGCATACCCAAAACCATGCGGCATACCCAAAACCATGCGGCATACCCAAAACCATGCGGCATACCCAAAACCATGCGGCATACCCAAAACGATGCGGCATACCCAAAACGATGCGGCATACCCAAAACCATGCGGCATACCCAAAACCATGCGGCATACCCAAAACCATGCGGCATACCCAAAACCATGCGGCATACCCAAAACCATGCGGCATACCCAAAACCATGCGGCATACCCAAAACCATGCGGCATACCCAAAACCATGCGGCATACCCAAAACGATGCGGCATACCCAAAACGGTGCGGCATACCCAAAACCATGCGGCATACCCAAAACCATGCGGCATACCCCAAACCATGCGGCATACCCAAAACCATGCGGCATACCCAAAACCATGCGGCATACCCGAAACCATGCGGCATACCCAAAACCATGCGGCATACCCGAAACCATGCGGCATACCCCGAAACCATGCGGCATACCCAAAACCATGCGGCATACCCAAGACCTTGCGGCATACCCGAAACCATGCGGCATACCCGAAACCATGCGGCATACCCAAAACCATGCGGCATACCCAAAACCATGCGGCATACCCAAAACCATGCGGCATACCCAAAACCATGCAGCATACCCAAAACCATGCGGCATACCCAAAACCATGCGGCATACCCAAAACCATGCGGCATACCCAAACGGTGCGGCATACCCCAAACCATGCGGCATACCCAAAACCATGCGGCATACCCAAAACCATGCGGCATACCCAAAACGGTGCGGCATACCCAAAACCATGCGGCATACCCAAAACCATGCGGCATACCCAAAACCATGCGGCATACCCAAAACCATGCGGCATACCCGAAACCATGCGGCATACCCAAAACCATGCGGCATACCCAAAACCATGCGGCATACCCAAAACCATGCGGCATACCCAAAACCATGCGGCATACCCAAAACCATGCGGCATACCCGAAACCATGCGGCATACCCAAAACGATGCGGCATACCCAAAACGGTGCGGCATACTCCAAACCATGCGGCATACCCAAAACCATGCGGCATACCCAAAACCATGCGGCATACCCAAAACCATGCGGCATACCCAAAACGATGCGGCATACCCAAAACGATGCGGCATACCCAAAACCATGCGGCATACCCAAAACCATGCGGCATACCCAAAACCATGCGGCATACCCAAAACCATGCGGCATACCCAAAACCATGCGGCATACCCAAAACCATGCGGCATACCCAAAACCATGAGGGTATGAGTGACTCATCACATCACTCACCCATCCATGCCCACCACTCACCACCACTCACAACCACTCACAACCACTCACCCATCCATGCCCGGCATCTGGAGGTCCATGAGAACCAAGTCGAACGCATGACACCATGATGCTCTCTCATGCCCTCCCTTTCCATCCCCCCCGCCTCTTTCATCTGATGCACGCCCGCCTCCTCCCCTCCGCCCACCTCCATCATCTGCGCCTCTCTCAGCAGCCCCTTCTCCTTCACTCTCTCCCCGTGCCCCACACCCATCTCTTCTATCCGCCAACTCCTCTGCACTGCTCTCAACCGTCCCAGCCACCATCCTCATGCCACTACTCTCAACCATCTCACCAGCCTCCCCCCCACCTGCTCGCATCAATTCAGAAAACTCCCGTCCCTCTTCTCGCAACCCTTCCCCAACCATTAAACCTGTCTCCTCCCCTCTCATCTCCTGCTCCCTTCTCCCCTCCTCCTCCTCCTCCTCCTCCTCCTCCTCCTCCTCCTCCTCCTCCTCCTCCTCCTCCTCCTCCTCCTCCTCCTCCTCCTCCTTTCTCTCCACCCTCACCACACCACCAGCAATCAACTCTACCGCCTGCTCCCCACGGGAGGCGGTGGTTACGAGGGCGCCCCAGCGGGCGAGGGAGCGGCGGGCCACGAGGAGGTTGACGGGCGTGTCGTCAACCACTAGCACTCGCAGCCCCCCCACCCACGCCCGCGTCACAGCCTCGTCCGCCACTGCCCGCAGGCCTGACCCAGCAGTCGCCCCTCCTGTGGCTGCATTGGCAGAGACGGGTCGAGGAGGGCGTTCGATTGCGCTCATACTCTTCCTCACGCTCGTCCTCCTGCTCTCTCTCTCTGCTGTTCTCTCGAGAGCTCTAGAGCTGGGTCCCTCGCTGCCCACCCTCCCTGCCGCTGCTAGTGACCGCTCCCGCTGCTGCTGGGGAGCCTCCTGCTGCTGCTGCTGCTGCTGCTCGTGCTGCTGCTCGTGCTCCTGCTCCTGCTGCTGCTGCTGCTGCTGCTGCTGCTGCTGCTGCTGAAGGTGATGATAATGATGAGGAGGCAGGCATTGCTGTTGACTCTGCACGTCTTGCAATTCCACCACTTCGTGTTCCTCGTCCGAGCAGTGTTCTTGTAGCGAGCCTTCTTGTAGCGAGCAGTGCTCTTGTAGCGAGGAGTGTTCTTGTAACGACGGTTCTTGTAGCGAGGAATGTTCTTGTAGGGAGGGAATGGCCACCGGCACGGAAAACGCTACAGTGGAGCCACATCCAGGCTGGGAATCAAAGGCGATCTCTCCCTTCATTAGAGTCACCTGCGAGTTGTAAGGAAGAAAGTGGCACATTTTAAAAACCTTCTGTAGTCGTACTGCCCAAGCGTACAATCCCAAAAAAGTGGTTTAGAAAAGACTAGAAGGAGAAAAAACAAACAAATTAAACAAGCAGCAACAACGATCCGAGCACTCACAATCTGGTGCATGTGCATAAGGCGACTTTTGCATCACCCCGAAACTCACCAGCGCCCCAAAGCTCACCATCTGGTGCATGAGCACGAGGCCGAGCGATGCTCCTGATCCACTCCCTGTCTCGTGCAGCTCCTGAATGGTTTGGTGCCATACATTTCCATGGCATGGCATGGAAGGAGGGTAGGATGAGCGACAGGAAATTAGAGAGGGAGAAGAGTCAGAGGGGGGCGAAAGTGGGATGAGAGAGAAGGGACGCGAGAGGGAATGAGGGACAAGGAGGAATGAGGGTGAGAGGAAGATGACAGTTGAAAGGGGAAAACGCGAGGGCGAAGGGAAACAGAGGAGCTGAGGAGGGAATGGTCGAATGCAAAGGCAAGAAAGATGAGGCAACTGTCTAGAATTCAGGATGAGCTAACTACTTTCCACAGGACGTGAGAACCCATGAGATTCAATAACAGCCTCGCCGCGAGCGAAAAGTGCGAAGGCTCCTTGCTGCTACGGACTGCAAGGAGAGACGCTGGCAGGCCAAGAGGGCATGAGAGCCCACGAACCTGTGGACGGTAACACACCCTCACTGCAAGCGACATGAGAGCTAGTAGAGGCCTCACCGCTAGCGAGAAGTGCGAAGGCTCCCCCTTGCCGTGAACTTGTACTCCGTGGAGGGTCGCTGGCAGGCCGCACCCTGAATCCCGACACAACACCACCAGCAACGTGAGAGCTGACAACAACTTACCGCGAGCGAGAAGTGCGAAGCCTCCCTGCTGCCGTGAACTCCGTGGAGGGACGCTGGCAGGCCGCACCCCGAATTCCCCATCCAGCAGGTGACACCAATTGTAACAACTCATTCACAGACTCACCGCGAGCGAGAAGTGTGAAGCCTCCCTGCTGCCGTGAACTCCATGGAGGGACGCTGGCAGGCCGCACCCCGAATTCCCCATCCAGCAGGTGACACCAATTGTAACAACTCATTCACAGACTCACCGCGAGCGAGAAGTGTGAAGCCTCCCTGCTGCCGTGAACTCCATGGAGGGACGCTGGCAGGCCGCACCCCGAATTCCCCATCCAGCAGGTGACAGCAATTGTAACAACTCATTCACAGACTCACCGCGAGCGAGAAGTGTGAAGCCTCCCTGCTGCCGTGAACTCCATGGAGGGACGCTGGCAGGCCGCACCCCAAGTCCCGACACGACACCACCAGCACCCCCGGCCGATCCCTGGATGGGCTGCTCGATGCACTTGATGCTGCTGCCGCTGCTGCTGCTGCTGCTGCTGCTGCTGCTGCTGCCGCTGCTGCTGCTGCCGCTGCTGCTGGCAATTCCCTCATAGCCTCCTTCAGCCAGTCCCATGATGAGGAAAGCAAGGCAGCAGCCCGGCTGGTGAGAGTGGACGTGGGTGCGTGAAGGGTGGGTGTGGAAAGGCCTGGAGGAGTAAGGTAAACGTGGAAGGAAGGGGAGAGAGGGCGTGATGAATGCTGAACATGGGATGTGTGTCATGTCAGTTACTGACAGTCAATGCGTGGGCATGAAACGACAGCTGAGGGTAAATTGGTGGGCAGGAAGCGAGAGCAAGAGCGGCTGACGAACGAAAGACAGACAGATGTGGGGCAATCGAGAATCAATCGGCCTGCCTTGCCATTTTGTCACACAGACGTGTCGATGCTCACGAATCTGCTTACCCTGGCAACGAAGGGCGTCTTCCAAGCTTGTCCCACGAGGCACCAGGGACACCCGCACTGTCACGCGGCCTTGCTCCGTGAGCCTCACTGCGTTATCTGAAACGAAACCAAGGCGGCGGTGTGAGCGAATCAAACCCATCAGAATGTGAGAAAGAAGGGCGTTGTGTTTCGTTATTCTGATCGGAATATGGACACACAAACATTGGCAATGCCAGCTGAGAAAGGCACGCTGGCAGCCATTGATCCTCCTTGGTATAGCATGCACCGTCAGAATGTGAGAAAGAAGGGCGTTGTGTTTCGTTATTCTGATCGGAATATGGACACACAAACATTGGCAATGCCAACTGAGAAAGGCACGCTGGCAGCCATTGATCCTCCTTAGTAGGTGCATCAAAAGGCCAACCCAACCAAAGCCTTGCCCACATGGTTTTAGTCACAGGCGCCATGTTACTGTATTGTTACTAGTATATAAGTTACTAGTATATAAGTTACTAGTATATAAGTTACTAGTATATAAGTTACTAGTATATAAGTTACTAGTATATACCTGCTGAATCCGGTCATTACACAGTGCATCAACTGTCGCACAAAACCCTCATGTCTTACAAACGCATGTTTCACAAAGAACGCATCCCGCACAAAGTGCACAAGTACCATCGCTACCACATGCCGTCCAAGTACCTGTGATTTCTTTGAGCACTTTAGAGAGGTGCATCTGATCGGCAATGATGCGACCCGGCACATTGTCGTCCACAATGCCGCGCACTAGAGGGGAAGGAGAACCAGGGTGGACAGAAAACAAAAGAAAAGGAAAAGGGGAGATGAGTTGCTTTTGAGTATTCTCGAGAGGTGCATCTCGTCAGTCAGCGATGATGCGACTCGGAACCTTCTCGCCCACAATGTCGCGCGCTACAGGGGAGGGGAAGACAAACCAGGTTGGGCGTCGAAACAAAAAGAAAGGATAATGGAATTGAGGTTGTACAGACTACGGTCAATCAGACTTGCGGTGTGATAAACATAGCATCATCCATTTAACCATAAGGCTAAGTACCGCACATACACTTAGACTTAGTACCAACCGAAATGATAAGTACCGCACTTACAATTGGTACCAACGATAAGGCTAAGTAACACACTTACACTTACTACTAGCCATAAGTCCAAATAATGCACTCACACTTAGTACCAACCAAAATGCTAAATATCGCATTGCCACTGAGTACAAACCATACAAATATGAAACGCACCTACACTTAGTACCAACCATAAGATAATGTAATGCACTTACACATAGTATCAACTATCAGGCTAAGCAGCGCACTTACACTTATTCCTATTTATAAGGCTACATAATGTATTTACACTTGGTACTGACCATAAGGCTAAGCACCACCAACCATTAGGACTAACCATAACGCACCACCAACACAACAAACTTTCGCAAGCTTACCAACTCACATTCTATGCCGCCTTTGAAACGTGACGCTTCCACATGCTGATCCAACGCCGCGTGAAGCCACTCGCGCACAGTAAAGCCCCTCTCATCTACCATCGCCTTGCTTGCCTCCAGCGTGACCAGATGCAGCGCACCCCCCTCAATGAGACACTCGCATTCTATCCCTTAAGAGCGTGCCGCCACGTACCAAACCGGCTCCGCATATAGCCATGTTGATGAGAAAATCCCCCACTCGCTTGGGTAAAGTCGGCCTAGCTATCTCGTGCGCAAAGGTGTGCATCCAGCTGTGTTTCGTGGTCGTCTGCAATTTCGAGGACTTTTATAGAAGTGCGACGAGTCGCCTGCCGACGAAATTAATTCGTCGACGACGGCAAACTTTTCTCGATGGTCGTGACGAAAACCGACGAGGCGTTGGTCGACAAAATGAAGTAGGCGAGTGGCGCCTAGCTCAGGCATTCGACGAAATTGATCGTCGACGGGGCGTCGACCGATGGAATTAATTCGTCGGCGGCGCCGCCCTGAGCCCCCTGTTTCTGGCTGACCCAAATTACTGGTCGGCAAAATTCTGCATTCGCGCTAATTTATTTTTAGAGGATTTTGGCGAAAGCCGACCTGCGGAATCAGCATCACGTGCTCTACAACCTGGCACCTACGCAATGTGCATCACGTGCACGACGTTCACGCAACTGTCTGTTGAGCAGACCTGCACTTACTTTGGTTGGTATGCACATGTGCAACGCTGGCATGTCGCCTGGGTGCAACGTTGGCAAGCCGCTTTGCTGCGGCGCTGGCACGCCGCCTTGCTGCAACGCTGGCAAGCCACCTTCGTGCTGCGCTGGACAGTCGCTTTGCTACGTTTCATGTTGTTTTGCAATGTATTCTTGCTACATCGTCTCAACCTTACCATTGTTTGCTTCAACTTTCCCTAGTGAAAAGCGTTAGCCAACTCTCTACACGAATACAACGAACTTGCACAAGTTTTAGACAACGCTCCGATCACCACGTACAACTCGTTACCTCTCACGTAGTCCACTCCCGTTGTAGAGTGACTCTCTGCAAGCCACGTGCGCACAGTGAAGCCGTCTCATCCACAAACACCTTGTCCGCCTTAATGATCAACTCACATTCTACGCCTTTGGAACATGCCGCCTCCACGTGCCAATACAACGCCCCTTGAAGCCACTCACGCACACTGAAGCCCGTCTCATCTACCACCGCCTTCCCTGCCTCCAACTTTGCCAGGTCCAACACGCGGTTGACCAGATGCAGTGCATCCATCGCACACCCCCGTGCGCTGAGGAGGTCTGACATCTCAGGGGGTTGGAGAGCCATGTCTGCTAGAGCATCAAGCATGCCTGGAGGGATAATGTAAGAAGAAGGGTGTGAGAAGAAGGGTGTGAGAAGAAGGGTTTATGATGGTGTAACTAAAGAGGGCGTGATATGGACAAGTCGGATGAGTGATTAGGGGTATTACATAGGGGTATGCTATACGACAAAGTAATATATAAGCATTTAGTCTTACCAATTATCCCCGTCATCGGCGTCCTGAGCTCGTGAGACATGCAAGCCAAGAACATGCTCTTTGATGCCTCCGTGTCCTCCGCCTTCTTCCTCAGCCTGTCGGCCTCCGCCGTCTGCTGCTGGGTCTGGAAGAACTGGGCGCACTGAATCCGAGCCGCTACCACCACGAGAAGCACGAGGAGGAGGGCGAAGAGGGCGATGAGGATGGGGACGCCCCATGATTGCCACGCGTTGGAAGGCTCTGTGTGCCTGGATGGGTGAATACAGAAAAACAGGTGTTTCTGTAACGCAGGTGCATACGGAATTAGTGCACGAGCGTAGGAATCTAGTGTAGGGAGGGACAGAAGAAAAAACGTGCAAACATAAGGAACATTTCACAATGGGTCTGATGACTCACCTGCACCAAACCTCATACTTGCGCACGCCTGCTCCCATCTCATCCAAATGCACCATGGGTGAGTTTCGGATGAAAACGAGGGAAGCATGCGAACGACAGGATCGGACCCACAATGGATTTAAATGACTCACCTGCACCAGACCTCATACTTGCGTACGCCTGCTCCCATCTCCTCCAGGGGCACCATCGCCGGATTTTCCCAGGGGCGAGTTTCGGACGTGGGAGAGGGAAGCATGCGAGCGACAGGGTCGTTGGGGAGGAAGTAGCTGTGAGGCGGGACTGGTGAGACGATGGCGAAGAGCATCGATCGATTCGTGACGTCGTATAGTTCGAACGACTTTGATGTGTCTGCAGAGGGATGGAGGGGGGAGGAGGGGGAGGAAAGGAAGGAGGGGAAGAGCATCGATCGATTCGTGACGTCGTATAGTTCGAACGACTTTGATGTGTCTGCAGAGGGATGGGGGGGGGAGGAGGGGGAGGAAGGGAAGGAGGGGAAGATCATCGATCGATTTGTGACGTCCTATAGTTCAAAGGACTTTGATGGATCTAAGTGGAACAGGAGAAGGAAGGAGCAGGAACGGGAGCGGAAGAGAGTGGATGAAGGGGTCAAAAGCCTCGATGCTAAAAAATAGTTGGGATTGTCAACTTTTGAGCAAGATGTTTATCGGCTTCAATCACAAGAGGGTTATGCCATTCATTAGAAGAGCCTCAAACTTTGACTGTACCCCACACCAGATCGCACACCTGAGAATGCTCGCCTCGTGGGAAAAGCTCCGGCACTCCCCGTAAGGGTACTCGTTACAACCCGTCCTTCCCCACCTGGTGAAATGAATACACCTGATCCATGACCTACTTGGGTTTTGAGACGTCTCAAAACTTGATCCATGACCTACTTGGGATAATTCACACCACACCAACTCTGCTCAACGAATCTAGCACTCACCACGTGCATACAACTCTTCCACGACCTTCTTCGCAATGGATGTCGCGTCTACGGAAGCGGCAAGTGTCCCATACACCATCGACATGGCTGCTTGGCTCGAGTGGTTTGTAAGGAGACTGCGGCGGAGAGGAAAGGCCACGCCTGTATCAGCGTCAACGGGCGGGAGAGGGCAAAAGAACGAATTTATATTTTTGTTGCATCAACAGATGCGGAAGTGTTCCATACACCATCGACGTGGTTGCATGCCTCGAGTGGTTTGTGAGGAGACTGCGGCGGAGAGGAGAGGCCACGCCTGCATCAAGGTCAGTGAGAGGGAGAGGAAGGGAGGAATGCGAGCCGTCTACCTGATTGTTTTGTAGCAACATCCTCCAACTCAACAGAAATCAAGTGTTCTTCATTTTGCAAACCAAAATCCCCCACCCTCAACTGAACCAATCGATATATGAAACCTGCTTGCAAAAATTCTTCAGAAACAGCTCAAACTTAATGTCAGATATTCAGAGCGATTTGCAACTCACCGAATCCAGCATGGGTTGACGAACCAGCCAAGGGGTATGGCCAGGTGTAGAAAGGCCTTCCCTCCACAGCCAGTGGAACCTCCGTGACAAATCGCTTCATGACATCAACGTTTTGCGTGCCATTCATGGCCGATATTGTGGAGAATTGGAGGATCTTGGGGCAGTAGATGGGGCGCTGTGCACTGATGTTGAGAGTGTTGTCTCTTATGCTGCCGTACTGCCGCTCAAAGGACGCCCTGCAGCAATGTGTGTGGGTGAGGTGAGACAGGAAGAAAGAGAAAAGAGGGGAATGTGTGCCATTCACTGCCACTGTAGATGGGGCGGTGGGCGCTGACGTTGAGTGTGTTGTCTCTTATGCTGTCGTACTGCCGCTCAAAGGCCGCCCTGCAATTATGTGTGAATGAGAGAGAGGGACCGAACAGAACAGAACAAATCAGAACAGAACAGGAACCAAGGAACGAGTGACGTTGAGAGTGTTGTCTCTGATGCTGCCGTACTGCCGCTCAAAGGCCACCCTGCAGCGATGTGTGAATGGGAGGGAACAGAACGGAACGGAACGGAACGGAACGGAACGGAACGGAACGGAACGGAACGGAACGGAACGGAACGGAACGGAACGGAACGGAATGGAACGGAACGGAACAGAACAGGAACAAAAGAAATGAACGAATGACGTAGCAAGTGTGGTCTCTTATGCTGCCGTACTGCTTCGCATAGAAGGGTTTACAGCGATGTGTATGTGTGAACCAGGAGGAGCTGGGAAAGAGGAAGAGTTGTACGCACCACTGTAGCACTGACAATGACACACGAGAGAGCCCACGTGTTCCCCAAGTTTAGAGGCTCCTGGAAAAATGTATCTTGAAATCCCTTCTGCTCTCTCAACCCTCCCCCTCTCTACCCCCCTTCCCCACCACCCCCTCCTCCCGCTCTCACCTCTCTTCGTCTTTCACGAAGACACAGGAGAGCGCCCCGGTGTTGCCCGGGCGAGCATAGGCGGTGCGAGTGAGGTAGGCCTCCCACGTGCTGCCGTTCAAACACTTGTCCAACTCCCACTTGTGCCTCCGCCCTGGCTTGCCCATCACTGAAATGATGCCCGTGAGGGTCTGTGCATGGGATGGGAGGAGAGGGAGAGCAACAATAGAGCAGCAATGACGACCGTAAGCACAAGCGATCGCGCAACCACAGGACTATCAACAGCGACAGTGGCATGAGAGCATGAGGGCACGAGGGCACGAGGGCATGAGGGCACGAGGGCACGAGGGCATGAGGGCATGAGGGCATGAGGGCATGAGGGCACGAGGGCATGAGAGCATGAGAGCTTAAAGGCATGCAGTAGGACCGTTTGAATGGCCGGAGTTCTGCACCGCGCTGAAACGGACATTCATGGTCAAGATGTGCGACCTGTAATTGCGCGGACGGCTTGAGAATATCAAGTGCCGTAAACAATCAGAGCAGGTTTATGCGATCGAGTTTCAGACCGCAGCACGCATGCTCGAGAAGCCTTTGTCTGCGGATAAGAGGATCCAAATCTTCTTCAAGGGACTTCAACCAAAACGTACCTGGAGACACGGGGGCATGAGGGCAGCACCCATGCTGCTGGCGAAAAGGATGCTGACTTCGACCAAAACTTACTTGGGTTTGCCCCACATGGGTGAGCACGAGCTGCTGCAGCGTGAGGGCGCGCTCCTTGCACCACACGCCCAGCGCCTCCTCCCTGCGGCTCTCGTACTGCGCGTGTCGATCCCACAGCAGCCATGCTGCTACTGCCAGCCCACACAGCACCCACGCTGTTACCAGCAACGTGAACCAGGGGTCTGGGAGAGGGGTGAGAACGCGAGAGAGAGGGGGGGAGGGGAGGCGAAGGAACGCGAGCGGTGAGAGAGGGGAGAGAGAGGGGGTAGAGATAGGGGGCAGCATGGGAATGCGAGCTTCTTGCACCACACGCCCAGCGCCCCCTCCCTGCGGCTCTCGTATTGCGCGTGCCGATCCCACAACAGCCATGCCGCTACGGCCAGCCCACACAACTCCCATGCCACCACCAGCACTGTGAACCAGGGGGCTGGGCGAGATGGATGGGGGAAAGATAGTGGAGAAGGAGAGAGTGGGGAGAGAGATGGTGGGGGGAGCGAAAGGAGAGCTTATCAGGGGGGGGGGGGGCAGCCACGACCAGCCCACACAACTCCCACGCCACCACCAGCACTGTGAACCAGGAGGCTGGGCGAGGTGGATGGGGGGAAATGGCGGATGTAGAAAAGGCGGATGAGCGAAGTCGAATTCGGTGTAAGGCGGATTGGGAGGACTGGGGGGAATGCGGATGCGGGGGAGGGGGATGAGGGGGAGGGGGGTGGGGAAAAGGGGATGTGGACGCGGAAGCCGGGAAGGAGGATGGGAGGTAGGGATCGGGGAAGACATGTGGGGAGAGCGCATTGGAGAACGGAGGAAGCGGGACGGCGGATGGGGGAAAAGGCGGATGGCGGAACGGTGGACGGGGAGAAGGCGGATGGGAGAAAGGCAGAGGAAATGCGGATGGGGGAGCGGATGGGGGAAAGGCGATGGCCGAAAGGGGTATGAGGAAGGCGGATCGGGGGAAAGCGGATGAGGGGAAGGCTGATCGGGCGAAAGCGGATGAGGGGAAGGCTGATCGGGGGGAAAGCGGATGAGGGAAAGGCGGATGGGGGGAAGGCGGATGAGGGGGAGGCGGATGGGGTAGGGAGGCGGATGAGGGGAAGGCGGATGGGGAGGGAGGCGGATGTCTCATCATGAGGGACTCAGATGATCTGAGGGAAGCGGATGGGGGAACGGCGAATTGGGGGGAATCAGTGGGGGAACGGCGGTTGGGGAAACGACCCAGAGCGGGGCGCCGGATGGCGGCGGCACGGAGCGGGGGCGGGGGGGAAACGAATTGGCGCCGGAGGCGGACGGGAGACGGCGACGCGCGGGGACGGCGGATAGAGCCTTAGCTTATTTTCCCTCAGTGAGGCGGATGAGGAAAGGGAGTGGTAAACGACTCGTTTTGCGCGGGGACGGCGTGGGGAAGACGCACGGGACGAGGGTGGGGGGAAACGGGCTGGGGGAAGCCCCTGCGCGAGCCGCGCGCGCGTAACGCGGCGATCGGCACGTGGCGTTCGGTCTGTAAAGCGGCGCACTTCGTTATTGTCACTCTCACCCTGGAATAGCACCGCGGCGGAGCAAATTACAGGACCTCCCGCTGTAGTCTCAACATTTCTCCCCCTTTTCTTCCGAGTCTGCTTCGCATTGCGTGTCGTCACGTGCCTATTCCAACCGCCTCTGACTCGACCTTCTGCCATGGCGTTTCGCAGTTCCCTAATTATGATAACGACAACCTTCCCCGTCTCAGCGTGCCCTACGGTCAGGGGCGCTGACCATAGGACGCTGATATCGGTCTCTCCCTTTGCTGATTTGCCCACGGATACCACTACGCGGCGTCGCTCGCAACGATACTACTGGCGAAGTGGTAAATCGTTTGTTGTGGTCAAGCAATTACTAATTTGGAAAAACACGTCAAAGTGAAAGGGGTTGGGCGGGTGATGGCACGGAAGTCAAATCCACCATTCAACCATAGGCGCATTCTGTAATAGACAGAATGCATGCAGTGTGCAGGGCTAGGTTCGTGGATTGATAATCCAAAGGGAAATGATCAGATTGGGGCCCCAGAGCTCTAGAAAAGTCGCCAACTTGGGGCCTCGTGTTTCACAAGGAGTCGAGCCTAGGCCGGACCTGTGCCCAACCAATTTCTAGCCTCATCCACGCACTCCGTCAGACCTGACCACACAAGGTGACGAATTCCTCCTTGACGAACGAAAAAATTGACTCGACATCTAAAAATTGACGAATTTTCCTCTCGTGCGTCATGCCTTCGAAGGGGCCTTAGCCCTAAACATCTTGCCGCACGGTATTTAGGGTTGATGCTTCCACAATCATATGCCATCCGAATGGGGTTTATTTTTTGTGCCATTGCGTTGTTGTTGTTTTTGGGTTAAAATGATTGTTTTTCTGGGTAATTTACGATGACGAGTCACTAGCGAATTCCGTCAACCCCAGGCCAGTAGGTGGTGACCTGGCGAGAAGGCCAGGCTCGGCCTAACTGACCACGTGTGCTGGTTGCTTCGGGGGTACGTAGTAGGGGCGCGACTCACGAGGCCCCAATTCGACCACTTTACTGCTACCCCGGGGCCCCTTTTTGATCATTTCCCTAATCCAAATTTCAAAAGAGGCTCACGCGATAAGCCAACAAATTGTGAATTGATGCTATCACAGCGCACTAGGGCCCAGTTGGGTAAAGATCAAACTGGGGCCGAGAAATAGCAGAGAAGTGGCCGAAGTAGGGCCGGGTGTGTCGCAAAGTGTCGAGCCTGGGCCGCACCTAGCCCTAACCAACTTCTGGCCTCACCCAGGCGCTTCGTCAATAAGTGACAGCATTTTGTCTGACGAGAACTGAGCAGAAGCATTCCGTCAGAAATGTTATTAAAGCCCGCGTCCCAAATTGCGGGCCGCGAGGGTCAAGTTTTTAAAACTTGACGAAGTTGAGTGTCCAAGCTTTTGAAAGTCACGCACTTGCAATTTGGGACTTTCGAAGACAGATTCACTCACCAGGGGGAAAACCGAGGGTTGGCTGGGTCTCGCGAAAAAAACGAACCTAGACGAAATCGGAAACTCTCGCCAAAGCCCACACCAGAAAAACTCCCTCTGGTCAACTTTTAAAAGCATGAACAATTTGGGCCGCCGGCTTTAACTCTGGGCAGCGAACAAACGATGAAAACTTTTAGATGTAGAGACCTTTCATTAAAATACCAGTCTTTGGGAAGCAACGGCGCAGAAATAATAAAACCCTACACGCCTTGTCGAATGGTGTTTAGGGTTGATTCCTCCTCGAAGAAATTCTGTAGCTGAGGGTATTTTTTTAATCGTCAATGCGATAACACGTTAAGGCTAAAATCTAATTTTAAGGGCGACTACCACAAAATAAAGTTGGTGTTTACTGGGTTGGATGTCGCTAGGGGTACTAGCGAAATCCGTCAACATTTTTTTGGGGGGGGGATGATGTGACACGTAGGCCTGGCTCGGGCTGTCTGGTTAGGGGCTTGGGCAGCTTCGGATCCGCGTACTAGGGGTGCGACACACCCGGCCCTACTTCGACCACGTCTCTGATATTTTTAGGCCCTAGTATGATCTTTGCCCGGCCCAGTTCGGCAGCCACAGAAGGACAGAATGAAAAATGGAAGCTTCTGAGCCTAGGTGCACAGCGGTGTGGACAGAACGCGTGCAACATGGGTGTTGCGGATTCTGCAATCTCGCAGAACGCAAATTCACACGCGTGAAGTTCGTGAACTCACAGCTGGAGTGGACAAAATTGCCGCCCGTAAATTCGTTGAAAGGACGAACACTTAGGGTGCGTTCTTGGCTGGTGCCTAGCTTTGGGCCAAGTTTCCCTTGGTGTCAGGCCCCTCCAGCGAGGTCTGACACGAATTTTCGATTTTGCCTCATGCCCGTCAATTCTACCTCGTGTCAAGCACCTTGGCCCGAAGCTAGACACCAGCCAATAACCAGCCCTTACAGTGCATAATGCTGTGGTCAAGCCCATGCACTTCTGCCCGTGGGCAACCAGCTCAGACATGATTATATATACGTGTTTCAAGTAATTTCACCACGGATATTATCTCTCTTCATGTCTCGGCTCTATTTCCTAGGTGTAATTGTACAATACAACGTCATTCTTCATCCATACACACTTTGACCGTCGACTCGACCGTATGAATGCAAATCCTATCGTTGATTCCCGACAAGCCACGAGCACAAAGCGGAAACACGCTGCCCACAAGCCAGCCCCCCAAAACTTGCTCAACCACACAAGCGTGGACTACACCTTGGGGTACAGTTGAAATGAATGTCTGTCGGTTGGGCCGTCGAAGAAGCCCGACGGTCCGTCATTTGCCCGTCAGCAGCAAAAGTATACCTTGTGCGGAATTCATGTGCCTTGGGAGAATCAAGCCCAAACATGCGAAGATTTGACCCCATCCAGAGACAGGGTTATATTTTTTGTTGACGGCCGGACGATCAACGTTGCCAGTGGACCGACTTTGGCTGGCTAATTCTACACTGGTGGGATGGAAAGGCCGACTGCCCCTGCCCTGTATCTCTCAACGGAATCGAGGGTGACGCTTCGTTTTGCCCGGGTGGCATGCCATTCCCTATGGGTAATATTTTGTTTTGCCCACGGGCAGTTTGTCGTTATGTCGTCTCCTTTCTTCCGTTGAGATATTACTAGCCTGGCCTTGGAAGAACCAAGGGCTGCCATTCCAGGGCTGAAAAAAAACGGCACTTCACCACACTGTATCCCTTCCTAACGCTACGGATATTGAAGACGAGTTATGAAACCACGCCAACACTTCTGCCCAGCCTAGTCTGTCCCTAGCCTATCCTCATGGAATCTCCGACAGCCAATCCCAGGGCGTAGAGAGCTAGCCGTGCAGGTCATCTAGGACTAGGGTTTCCCTACCACCTCATTCTAGAAGCTAGTCGTAGCTTTCTAGGCTAGATTGACCTAGGAGTTTCCGTTTTCCCTCCCTCCGCTTCCACTGCATGAATCCTACGATTGTGGCGTGAGTTTTTGTGTCACCTTCTCTCTGGCTAATCTCTTGAGTGATTGATTGTCCTTGGTCGTCATTTCCGAGCCTCGTCGCCACGCGAATCTTTTTTAGCCGAGTCTTTCTTGTCCGCTTTTAACTTATCTCCCGTCACGCGGTTTCCAATTGTTACTGAATTCAACGCTTTTTGTCATAATCCCGTCGTATGTCCTTCGGTTCCTTAGCTGGGTGTTTTCGGAAGTGCCGTGAAATATGTTTGGAGTTATCCAAAAGACGCCTTTGATTTGAGAATCGGCCGTAATGTGCCGCTTCTCATCGTCGCGAATCGCTGCGCGACGCGTCAATCCTTCGTTAGGAACCTCTGCATCGACCCTACCATGGTGTGTGTGGTTCTCTCATACCTATTCCCTTTTGTTTATCTTTTCCTGTGTGGTGTTCCATTTTCCCGATTTTCAGATTCCAATGGCGTTCTGAACATGAAGCTCTACTCGGTCGTTCGTTCATACGCCAGTCCTGTTTTCTGGACAAGATTAATCGCGGATCATTAAAAGTAAAAGCGGCCGTTTTGCACCGCAGTTCTTCAAGAAAAGGCCAAGAATACGGCTAGCGGATTCTTCTTTGCTTTAACAAATACAACGGGATTGTGAGTGGTCGGTTTGCGACCGACAGTTTCGTGAGTGGTGGGGTAACCAGCAATGGCGACTGCAGCGGATGGCGCACCTATCTCCCCTCTTCCTCCTCCAGCTCCTCCTGGCGGCCCGGCTCAATCACCGCAGCCAAATCAGCAACAACTATCTCAGCCAAAGCTGGAACTGTTACAGCAACAGCAGCCGCTACAGTCACAACAGCAGCTACAGCAGCTCCAACAGCCGCTCACTCCCGTTATAGTCCCGTTGCCCATGGGGACTCAACCGCAGCAGCAACAACAACCGCAGCACTCGCAGCAGCAACAGCAGGTTCAGCAGCAGCAGCAGCAGCTGGGTCAGCAGCAAGTAGTGACCCTCCCAGTCATCCAACCCCTGGGCCCGGCCATTTTCCGCGAGGGCAATTCGTGCATGGAGTGCGGAAACGCGTCCAAGCGCGACTGCCCGTACCGCCGCTGCCGCACGTGCTGCAAGGCGCGCGGATTCAACTGCTCGACGCACATCCGCAGCACGTGGGTTCCCGCGGCGGAGCGGAGAAAGCGCGAGCAGATGGAATCCGCCGCGCGGGCGATGGCGGCGACGATGCGCCCTGTACCGCCGCGGTCGAAACGCGCGCGAGGCAGCGGGTCGCAGTCACCCGTGGGGGGACCCATACCCATGCCAGTGCCGTATTCCGCTACCACTGCTGCTGTATCTGCTGATGTCGCTACTGCGATGGGACCTGCTGCGGTGGCGCCTGGTGGAGCTCTAGGGGCGTTGGGTAACTCGAGCTTTTTGCCATCCAGTGGGGTGTCGACACCTGTCATGGCTCAGTCGCCTGCGCGAGGGCCAGTGGCGTCTGTGGTGGTGCCCATTCCCCATGCGCAGGTACCGGCTCAGGTGCCTGGCCAGGTGTCTGTTCAAATGCCCGGTCAAGGGCACGTCCAGCCGCACTCGCAGCAGCAGCCTTCGCAGCAGCAGCAGCCTCAAATAGCAGGAGCGGTGCCGCTGCTAAGTGCCCAGACGGGTATGCAATCTCAAGGGCAAGGGCAAGCTCAATCTCAGTCGCAGCAATTGCTGCTGGTTCCGTCTCAGTATCAGCAGCAGGTCGGGCTGCAGCAGCCAGCTCAGGCTCCCGTGCAGCAACAGCAGCAGCAGCAGCAGCAGCAGCAGCAGCAGCAGCAGCAGCAGCAGGTGTTGCAGTCACCTTTGCAACCACCACTGCAGCAGCATCAGCAGCAGATGGCACAGCAGCCACTGCAGCAGCCATCGTTGCTGGCTCTTCCAGAAACACCTGCACAACAGACTCAAGGTGAGGTGGCTGTTTCCTTGAATATTACTTTGACATTGTCTCGTTTACCCCAAACATCCCCCCTCCTGCCCCCCGTCCAATTCTTCACTGAATCCCGCCTCACCCCCCCTCCTAGCCACTCTGCCCCGCACCAGCACTCCCAGCAGAGGCGGTTGCTCAGACCCTCCTCAGGAGCGTGCGGGTGACGGGCATTGTGGACGGGCACAGTCTCACTCAACCCCGCTGCACCCCTCCCAACCCCTCTCCTTCACACCAGCGCTCCTAGCAGAGGTGGTGGCACGGACCCTCCTCAGGAGCGTGCGAGTGACAGGCATTGTGGACGGGCACTTAGAGTTTGGCTACCACGCCTGTGTCAAGATCGGCAGTCACATGCTCATCATTATGCAATCCCACTCAACCCTCCCCACTCCTCTCCCTCATACCAGCACTCCCAGCAGAGGTGGTGGCACAGACCCTCCTCAGGAGCGTGCGGGTGACGGGCATTGTGGACGGGCACTTCGAGTTTGGCTACCACGCCTGTGTCAAGATCGGCGGGCACATCTTTAAAGGGGTGCTCTATAACGCGGGCATAGACCCCAACCCGTCCCAGCCCCTGCCTGTTTGCACTGGGCCTATGGCTACTGGTGTGGCAGGAGCTACAGCCATTAATGCTGCTGATACTGCTCCTGCTGCTCCTGCTGCTCTTGCTGCGCCATTGGCTTCCACTGCTGCTGGGGCGGTGGCTTCAACTGGAGCTGCTGCAGCTGCCTCTACTCCTGCTGGGTTCTATCCTGCTGCTGCTGGTGTTGCTCCTGCTGGCGCTGCTGCCTCTGTTTTGGTTGCCACCACCTCGGCTACAACTGCTCCTGTCGGTGCTGGTTCTGCTGCTGGTACTGCTTTTGGTGCTGGTGCCAATGCCACGTATCCCTCTGGTTCCGGCCTTCCTTCTGCATCAGGGGGGCTGTTACTCGGCACTGTAGCGCCCTCCACTCCCCAACGTGCTGCCGCCCCAACCCCCTCCCTCGCCACTCCTCTCTCCATCCCCCCCGTGTCAGCATCAGCCGCCGCAGCAGCAGCAGCTGCTACTTCCGGCAGTCTACCTCTTTCTGCTGCTGTCTCTCCTTCCTTAGTCGCTAAAACAGGCTCGCCGTTACAAGTCCCCAGGCCAGGCTCGGCTTTACTAGTCCCAAGGTTAGGCTCGGTAGGGAGTTCCGGAGCTGCGGCAGGGAGCTTCGGGGCTTCACCAGGGCAGCCTGTGGGGAGGTCTGGGGGGGGAGGTTCGGCAACAATTTCACATCCACCCTCTCCTGTATCGCACTTCTCCCCGTTGACCTTTGTCCAGTCGGTTTTGAGCTCGGCTGCAGCTGCCACCTCTGCAGAAGCTGCTGCAGGTGTGGCTGCAGCAATAGAGGCAGCAAAGGGGGTAGCAGCAGCAGGAGGGGCAGGAGGAGTTGCAGGATTAGCAGGGGCAGCAGGAGGGGAAGGAGCAACAGCAGAAGGAGCAGCAGCACATACTCTCTCAGCCGCCCCTCAACCCACCACCTCCTCCTCCCCTATTGTCATTTCCGTCCCTATCCCCAACTTCTCCTCGTCCCCTTTGTTGCAAATTCCTAAAAAGTCCCTCTCTCGGGGACCTGTCCAGGTTCAGAGTACCTCTCAGACTCCACTCCAAGTGAGTGTCGAGATTCCAAGCACTTACCTTGCAACCGTGCTAGGGGCAGCAGGAAGCAAGCAGAAACAACAGCAGCCGCACCAGCAGCAGCAGCAGCAGCAGCAAGGGCAGCAGAATGCAGGTCAGCAATACCAACTCGTCCTACCGAGCATAGGGAGTGTGGCTGGGAATGCGCAGCAGGAGCTGAAGCCACTCGTGCAGGCAGACGCTCCGACACAGGTGGAGCAGCAGGAACAGCAACAGAAGCAGCAGCAGCAGCAGCAGCAGCAGCAGGAACAACAACAGTCGATTTGGACATCTGCTGCTGACGGTGCTACAGGCGCTGCCGCTGTGGCCACTGCTACAGACACTGTTGCTACAGGCACTGCTGCTACAGGCTCTGTCAAAGGAGTTGGTGGTGCTAGGAATGAGCTTTCATCATCGGGGCTTGTGCCTGCTGCTGCCGCTGGTGGTGGTTCTGCTGTGCCTGCTGCTGCCGCTGGTGCGGCTGCTGGTGCTGCTGCTGGTGCTGTTTCTGGTGCTGTTGCGGTAGCTAATGCTACTGATACTGGGACCGTGGTTGAGATTGCGGCTGATGCAATCCTGACTGGGCCTAATGTTGGAACTGAAGCTGCTCTTGGTGAGGATAGTCTGTGCGAGGCTGGAACTCCTGGTTCCCCCGGCCAAGCAACTGATGAGCTTGCTGTGATGTGAATGCGGGACGGCGATAGGGAGTGCTAGGATTATATATATTTTCCACCCAAACTTTCTCGGTGAGTATGGTATGAGTCAGGCAGGCTGGAACTGCTGGTTCTGATGGCTGGCTCTGCTGGTTTCTGAAAGGTTGGCTTTTCTTCTACTTGTTTTGTTTCATTTCTGAGTTGCACTGGCCATGCTATGCTATGTTTTGTGTTTTTTTGTTAGACTTGTGGCAATGCCAGCATGTCCATACTAATGCAAGTAGATTGGTTGAAGTGTACCATAACGGTCAAATGTCAGATTTCCCGCGCTCACAGATTCTGGTTTTCACCAGCCAACATCATCGCTGGATCATACTCGATAATACCGAGTGGTATCCTTGTTTTGCGCCGAATTCTCAGCGGACTCCGCTGCTATTGCGGCACTGCTGTCCCTCGCATTCCCGCGGACAGATGACTCACAGAACTGACGAACGAACGCGGCATTCTTTCATTTTTTCGCAGTAATCTCGTACCATTCTCGGTGTAAGAATAGGCCGATCAGGCTGATTGGTTCTGTTACTTTCCCTGAAAGTCTATTCTCAGCTGCTATATGGTAGCCCGAAGTTATAAGCTGCGAAACCCCTTGTGAATCAGCATTGGTTCGTCTATTTTCGCATGCCAGTGTCGCATTCCTTGTTCCCCAGTCGTCCACATGTCGATCGCCCATACGCTTAGTGGCGTCGTCGCCACGTCAGCCGCGGCTTCAGGAAATAGCTTCTTCGGCTTCAAGCGGAATGCTGGGCGAATTCAGTTCTCGAAGCAGCGTGTATCGCGTATTTCACGCCGCTTCCATTTGCTGCCATGCGCCTTAGGAAGCGAGCGACCGGCGGTAGAGACGATCCCACGAGAGGAAGAGGGACTCGGAACCGGCGAGCCAGGAGGTGGTACTAACGAGGGGGATCTTAGTAGTGGGTCAAATCCGGCAACTTTGGGCGCCGCTAGCACTGGCGCCGCTGCCAGCAAAGCAGCCACTTCATACATCGCCGCATCGCCATTCTCTCCCCAGGCAAGTGCTGACCCCGACTGTAAGTGCAGAGCCCTCTCGTCCCCCTTTTGCCCCTTTTCCCCTGCACACCAGCAGCAGCAGCATTGTTGCAGGGTCGAATCTGCAGAGGAGGACGTGTGCTGGTGGGGTGAACCTGGGGTGGTTAAAATAGCCTTTTTTCCGCTCCTACTGCCAACTCCCACCCACCGTATCCCCGTTTCCCCTTCTCCCCCAGGTAGCAGCAGCAGCAGCAACATTGGAGGGCGAATTCGCGGAGGTGGACAGGATGGTGGCGGTGAACCTGGGATGGGAAGAAAAGTATCCATTTCCGCTCCTACTGCCAACCCCATTGACCCTTTCTGCTCCCCCAGGTAGCAGCAGCAGCAGCAGCAGCAGCATTGGAGGGCGAATTCGCGGAGGTGGACAGGCTGGTGGCGGTGAACCTGGGATGGGAAGAAAAGTATCCATTTTCCTCTCCTCGTATCCTCATCGTCCCTTCTCCCTCAGGTGGCGGCAGCGGCAGCTTCCCTGGAAGGCGAATTCGCGGAGGTGGACAGGCTGGTAGCAGTTAACCTGAAGCGGGTTTTGGATGCCTTCGCCTCTGCACGCGTGGGGCGACATGTGAGTATGTGCGTGTGCTTGCCTTGCTGCTGTGGGTGGGACAGGGGCTGTAGGAAGCGAGGGAGGTGCATCGGCTGGTAGCAGTTAACCTGAAGCGGGTTATTGATGCCTTCGCCTCTGCACGCGTGGGGCGACATGTGAGTATGCATGTGTGTCGGATGCCCACTTTTTCCCCCTAATGCCCTTTCTCCGCTCTCCCTGCCCCTTTCTCCCCACTCCCTCCTCCTCCCCTTCTCCCCACTCCCTCCTTCTCCCCTTCTCCCCTCCTTCCTCTTCACCTTGTCCCCTCCCTCCTCTTCGCCTTCTCCCCTGCCCACTCCTCCCGTTCCCCCTAGGATCAGCAGTTCAGTGGCACGACGGGGTACGGCCACTGAAATGCTGATGCTGATTTCAAGTCCTTCCCCGTTCCTGCCTTCCCTTCTCCCTTCTCTTGACCTCCTCGCCCCCTTCCCCCACCCCCCATCAGCATTTCAGTGGCACTACAGGGTATGGTCACGGGGACGCAGGAGGCAGAGAGGCGCTTGACTCTGCCTTTGCTCAGATCGTTGGCGCCGAGGCAGCGTGTGTGCGCGCACAGGTAGAAAGGGGTGCAGCCGTGAGGGTGATACGGTGTAGGTATGACAGGGGTGTGAATTCACGCGGTCGGTGGAATGAAGGCAGCCCAGCACTGAATGGGATGCAGGGAGGCGCTTGAATTGACTCGGCCGTTGCTCGAATCTTTGGGGCTCAGGCAGTGTGTGTGTGTGTGTGTGTGCACAGGTGGGGTGGGGGAGGAAGAGAGGGTGCGGGAGGGCGTGTGTGTGGTCAGGTAGCAATTGCACAAATATTATTGATGTAGGTAATTATTTTTATTCCTCTTTTTTTTCCTTTTCCTCACTCTCCAGTTCTTCTCAGGCACACATGCAATCGCTGCTGCCCTTTATGCCGTTCTGCGCCCTGGGGACGAGGTGAGTGGCATTCTCCCATTTAGTGCGGTGGCATTCTCTGGCGTCTAGTGTAGTGGCATTCTCTGGCATTTAGTGCAATGGCAATCTCTGGCGTTGAGAGAGGCGGCATTTTCTTGCATTTTGTACGCTCCATGGAAAGGTGTTGGTTCCATCATGGTGGGCTTGAAAAAAACCTAAGCAATCCCCAAAATCCCATTCTAACCATATCTCTATTGCTTATTCAGTTGTGCACCCTCTATCTGCACCACTCACTCCACCTCACTCCCGCTGGCCCCTCGTGCTCTTTCTCCGCCACACCAATTCTTCCCCCGTTCACCAGCCCCTCTCCGCCCCTCCACCAACACCCCACCTCCTCTCAGCTGCTGTCAGGCAGGGGCGCCGTATGATACAATGGAGGAGGTGATTAGGCTCAGAGGCACAACCCAATCTTTTCTCCCTCCCCCTCTCCCCCCTCCTCCCCATCCCAATCTCCCCTCAGCTGCTGTCAGTGGCAGGGGCGCCGTATGACACAATGGAGGAGGTGATTGGGCTCAGAGGCACAACCCAATCTTTTCTCCCTCCCCCTCTCCCCCCTCCTCCTCATCCCAATCTCCCCTCAGCTGCTGTCAGTGGCAGGGGCGCCGTATGACACAATGGAGGAGGTGATTGGGCTCAGAGGCACGCCGGGGCACGGGTCGTTGAAAGAATTTGGGGTGTCGTACCGACAAATAGAGGTGCGTGCGATGTGCTGGGCAGATACACACACATGCACACAGGGAGGCTCAGAGGCACGCCGGGGCACGGCTCGTTGCGGGAGTTTGGGGTGTCATACCGGCAGATAGAGGTGCGGACAGACAAGATGAGCATCCGTGGAATTGGTGACACACACACATATGCACAAGTGCGGGCACGCACCTACACACACACATATGCACAAGTGCGGGCACGCACCTACACACACACATATGCACAAGTGCGGGCACGCACCTACACACACACATATGCACAAGTGCGGGCACGCACCTACACACACACATATGCACAAGTGCGTGCACGCACCTACACACACACACACATGCACACACACACATGCACACACAAATGTGCAACACACATACAGTGCAGGGCATGCGTCTGTGAGCGAGTTTGGGGTCTCGTTCTGACGGATGCAAGAGCATTTTGCAGGACAGAAGAGGCCACACATGCATGTAATTGACAAGTATTACAGCATGTAATTGACAAGTATTACAGCATGTAATTGACAAGTATTACAGCATGTAATTGACAAGTATTACAGCATGTAATTGACAAGTATTACAGCATGTAATTGACAAGTATTACAGCATGTAATTGACAAGTATTACAGCATGTAAGTGCTGGATCCCTCCGCTGTTCCCCCTCACTTTATCTCCTTGTGCACCCAGCTGACTCCACAGGGCACCCTGGACCTATGTTGGAATATACGCGACTGGCGTACCAGTCGCGTTCGTACTATACGCCAACGTACGCACGCTCAAAATACGGTGTCCCGGGCAGGGTAAAACAAGTTCCGGGCAGGGGAAAAAACGTATCAGGGAATGCCATGTCCGCGCTGATCTGGCGGCGGAATGCCAGATCTGCGCTCCTCTGGCTACTAGCGTTCAGCTGCTTGTGAGATTGTGTGACATTGGCCAAGGAAAAAGTGGTTGCATTCGACATTTGAGTTCGATATGGTTGCATATGACATTTGCGATTTTTTTTTTACGGGCTGCCCGACCCCGCGATTCACGATTTTTCGGACGTATCACGTTTTTCCGTATATAAGATCACGTACAAACGTGATACGCTTCCCCCCCCTGAGCGTTTTTGCCAACATAGCCCTGGACTGGGATGCTCTGAGTGCACCAGGGGCAGTGGCAGGCTGCACGCGCTGTGTGCTGTGTGCTGTGTGCTGTGTGCTGTGTGCTGTGTGCTGTGTGCTGGTGCAGCCCCTCTCCTCCCCCTTACTCACGTGCCCCTCACTTGTAATTCCGTCTACCCACAGCTGATTCCACAGGGCGGGCTCGACTGGGATGCTCTCAGCGCTCAAGGGGCAGTGGCAGAGCGAACACGCTGTGTGCTGGTGCAGCTCTCGTGTGGGTACTCTCTCGTGCTCATGCTTTCCCCTCGCCTTGTCTCCTCCTGCCCTTCGCTTTGTCTCCCTCCACCCACAGTTGACAGACGAAGGCACCCTGGACTGGGATGCTCTCAGCACACCAGGGGCGGTGGGAGAGCGAACGCGCTGTGTGCTGGTGCAGCGATCGTGTGGGTACTCGCTAAGAGAAACACTTACAGTCGAGCAAATCGGGCACGTTGTGGAAATTGTGAAGGTGAGCTCGGTGCCTGGGAGTGTGGGCTGTGTTGAGGTGAAATCAGGAAAAATTAACACTATTGTTAGACCTTCAAAGTCATCTCGCTAAGAGAAACACTTACGGTGACTGGATATGGTCTAGATATGGTGCGTTGTCAAGTTTGTGACTTATGAGATTGTTGCCGGGCATTGTGCTGGGATGGGACTGTGGTGGTTCTGTGCTGGGTTGTCTCCGGGGAACGTAACTCCTCTTTCTGAGAGGTTTTGCATGCTGAATGTTTATTCCATGATGGTCTGATCTGATGGTGCGTGGCATATGACACATGACACATCGACACATTGCCTATGGCATCTGTGCATCTCGCAGGCCCAGAACCCATCATGTGTTGTTGTGGTGGACAACTGCTATGGGGAGTTCATTGAAGAGAGAGAGCCGACCCACGTGGTGAGTGAGTGAGAGGATGGAGGGGATAGAGGTGCAATGCATGGTGGTGTGACACATGGCACACGGCAGAAGGCGTATGCAGATGGCACTCAGAAGAACCCATCATGCGTTGTGGTGGTGGACAACTGCTGTGGGGAGTTCATTGAAGAGAGAGAGCCCACCCATGTGGTGAGGGGATGGAGGGGCAATGCACAGGTGACTTTCTTGTACAGTGTTAAAAGTTGTATTTTGAGACGTCTCTTGAGACGTGATAAAAGTTGTATTTTGAGACGTCTCAAAATACAACTTTTATCACGTGGCTATATTTCTTCTGGTTCCTGTAGATTTGTGTTGGCGTGGAGGTTACCATCCCGCTTACACCGAAGATTGATACAGTCGAAGTTGCGATCAGCAGCCGCAGCGAACCATCTGCGCGACAATGTGGTTACTCCACCTCTTTGACCCCGGTTTCCTAAACCACCCTGGAGACTCCAATTGTGTCCCCTCGGGATTGGGTTGAAGTCGTCTGCTCGCTTCAACGCCTCATCTTGCATTCGCTTTTTCCTTTCCGACGTCATCCTGGCAGCCTAGTTTGAGCGTAGAGTACTTAGTCAGTCTGCGTCTTCTCAGATCCTTAGTTTCAGGCTTGTACTGATGAAGGCTTGCAAAAGCCGAAACTAGTTTACACAATGTTCTGATTCTATAGGGAAGAGTTGATACATACTGGCTCTCTAAGAAACGCTCTCAGCTAGCGCAACACCAGGTTTTCTTTTTCCATTTTTCATGGAGTTTGTTTCTCTGTCCTAAACAGCAAGAGTTGATGGAAATAAGGCCTCCGCAGCCCACCTGTTCCACTTCGACAGCTCCTGCACAGGTGCCTCAAAAGTCGGCACAGGTGACTTTCTTGTACAGTGTTGAACTCCCCTTCTCATCCTCATTATCCTTCTCTTCCCTTCCCCCGCATCTTCATTCGCCCACTCTCTACTCCCACTCTGCTTTTGAGGTGCCTAAAAACAAATCGCGTGTGAGGAGTCTACTTTTGAGGCGCCTCAAGAGTGTTTGAACTCCCCTTCTCCCACTCTCTACTTCCACTCTGCCCACCCTCGCATTCTCAACGAACCTCACACTTTCAACCTCCACCTATTGCCCTTTCTCTCTTGTCCAATGCCAGGGCGCAGACCTTATAGCGGGGAGTCTTATAAAGAATCCAGGAGGGACGATAGCCCCCAGTGGGGGGTACGTGGCAGGGAGGGCCGACCTGGTGGAGGCTGCTGCTGCTAGGCTGGCTGCTCCTGGCATCAGTAAGTGTATCTACATTTGTACCTAGTATATATATATATATATATATATATATATACATATGTGGCGGGGTATGTGGCTGGCAGGGCTGACCTGGTGGAGGCTGCTGCTGCTAGACTAGCTGCTCCTGGCATCAGTATGTATATCTACATGTATACATATATATTTCACCCTTATATGTATACATCTACATAGTAAGTAACTGTTGTGCTGTGCATGCTCGATGGTTTTTAGATAAAAACACGCATTTTCTCTCTTTCTCCCTTGTTGTTCACTCCCACTCATAGGCTCGGGCGCAGGAGCAACAAGTGGGGAGGTGATGCGGCTGATGTTCCAAGGGCTGTTCCTGGGGCCGCAGATGACAGGCGAGGCCATCAAGGTGAGGGGAGTGGTGTAAGTTGGTACATGAAGGCCTGAAGGCATGGGGGAGGGGGTGTTGGAAGGGAAGTGGGGAGGTGATGCGGCTGATGTTCCAGGGGCTATTCCTGGGGCCATATATTACAGGCGTGGCTATCAAGGTGAGGCGAGAAGGAAAAGGGGAAAGGGGTCGGGAGGGGAGGGTGCTTGAAGAGAAGAGGGAGGTGATGCGGCTGATGTTCCAGGAGCTGTTCCTGGGCCACAGATGACAGGCGAGGCCATGAAGGTGAAGGGAAGAGGAAAAGGGCAGGAGAAGTCAGGAGGAGGGTGACTGAGGAGTGGTTGGAGGAATGTTGAGAGGTGATGTTCCAGGAGCTGGGTTCGGGGCTACAGATGACAGGCGAGGCAATGAAGGTGAAGGGAGAGGGGCAATTGGGTGGGTGCATGAACGTATGGAGAAACGGGGGAAGGAAGGTTGGGGCTGCGGGTGAAGAAGAGTGGTTGCTGTTCCAACGGTTGCACCAACAGCAAGCCAAGCCCTTTCTCCTCTCTCCCTTTCCTCTCGCCCCTCTGCAGGGCAGTCTACTCGTAGCAGAGGTGATGGCGAATGAAGGGTTTTCTCTCCCCTCACCATTTCCCATACTCGCTATGCTCCCCTCTCACCCCTCCCACCCCTTCCGTCTCGCCCCTCTGCAGGGCAGTCTACTCGTAGCAGAGGTGATGGCGAATGAGGGCTTCTCTGTTCATCCCGAGCCCCGAGCGCGGCGGAAAGACATCATCCAGGTGTGATGAGGTGAAAATACATGTGGCGTATACTGTTGCGTTCACAAGAAAAACTAACTTCAAAAAAAACAAAAACAAAAACAAAAACACACACACATACACACACACACACACACACACACACACACACACACACACACACACATGCAGAAGAAATCAGCATATTAGTCTGTTGGTGTTCCCCCCTTTTCCTCGCCCGCTGAGAACTGTGGCTCTCTCCTCCTCCTGTCACGCCTTCATTTCTCTCCCCCTTTTTCCCTTTCCCCCCATCCCACTGCTGCTTTCCCCCAGGCGGTCATCCTCTCCTCGCCCGCGCGCCTCCTCGCCTTCTGCCAAGCATTGCAGTGTTTGTGAAAGCACGATGTGTGAAAGCAAAAAGTGTTCAAGAAAGCGTCTTTTCCCTCATCCTTTCCTCCCTTATCCCTCTCTTCCTCCTCCCTCCAGGCAGTCATTCTCTCCTCTGTGTAAAGAAAGCTGGCAGTAACTAGTTTCGGCTCTTCGAGCCTTCTTCAGACCAAACTAGTTTTGGTCTGAAGAAGGCTCGACGAGCCGAAACTAGTTACCGCCAACTTTCTTTACACAAAGGTTTTTTACAAGCAAGCCTAAAACCAAACTAAACAACTGTTTGCTAAACACAGCTGCTGCCATGCTACGCCATGCCTCCTACTTGGGGCTCCACTGGTCTCATCCTTTCCTCCCTTATCCCTCCCTTCTTCCTCCCTCCAGGCAGTCATTCTCTCCTCGCCCGCGCGCCTGCTCGCCTTCTGCCAAGCCGTGCAGCGGCGGTGCCCTGTTGGGGCCTACATCAAGCCGACAGCCGGGGTGACAGCAGGGTATGAGTCGGAGGTGAGTGCTTCAGTTCGTGTGCAGTACGTTTGAGAAACGGTGCATCTGTATGCACTAAGTGCGTTGCGTGCAGCGGCGATGCCCATTTGGGGTGTACATCAAGCCTACAGCCAGGGTGACATCTGGGTATGAGTCAGAGGTGAGTGCAATGTTGTGGGCATGCTCTGTGTTGCACGTGTGCCCACGTATGCATGCATGCTTCCATCCCCCGAGGGACCCTACATCAAGCCAACAGCAGGGTACGAGTCAGAGGTGAGTGCACTAGGTTTCTCCACAGCAAATGTGTGTGCGCTATGTACTTGCATACACTACATCTCTATGTGCACCATATTTATGTGCTCCAAGTTTTTGTGCACACCCCTCCTCAACCCTCCCACACCGCTCATCAGCCCTCTGAACCGCTTACCAGGTGGTCTTCGCTGATGGCACCTTCATCAATGGCAGCACCATCGACCTCTCAAGTGATGGGGCCCTCAGCCCACCCTTGTACACACCCCTAATCACCCCTCATCACCCCTCTTACACCCCCCATCATCCCTCCCAAACCACTCATCACCCCTCCCACACCCATCCGCACCACTCATCACCCCTCTAAACCATTCATCAGGTGGTCTTTGCCGATGGAACCTTCATCGATGGCAGCACCATCGAGCTCTCGTGTGACGGCCCCCTCCGCCCTCCCTTCCCTTGTACACAACCCTCATCACCCCTCCCACACCCCCCATCACCCCACACCCCTCATCACCACGCATCACCCCTCTAAACCGCTCGCCAGGTGGTGTTTGCAGACGGCACCTTCATTGATGGCAGCACCATCGAGCTCTCCTGTGGTGGCCCCCTCCGCGCTCCCTTACTGTATTCTGCCAGGCTCTCCTTCCACACCCCTGATTACCCCTCCCACAACCCCCATCACCCCTGCACCCCTCATCACCACGCATCACCCCTCTAAACCGCTCGCCAGGTGGTGTTTGCAGACGGCACCTTCATTGATGGCAGCACCATCGAGCTCTCCTGTGGTGGCCCCCTCCGCGCTCCCTTACTGTATTCTGCCAGGCTCTCCTTCCACACCCCTGATTACCCCTCCCACAACCCCCATCACCCCTGCACCCCTCACCACCCCTCTAAACCGCTCATCAGGTGGTCTTTGCTGATGGGACCTTCATCGATGGCAGCACCATCGAGCTCTCCTGTGATGGCCCCCTCCGCCCTCCATTCGCTGTCTTCTGCCAGGTATGGGAGGTGGTGTGTGCGTGTGTATCCATGCCATAATCCCAGGAACCAACCAGCATGCAATCAGCTCTCCCGTGACTCCCCCCTTCGGCCACCCTTTGCAGTGTCCTGCCAGGTCTGTGAGACCCCTTTCTTCTGGGTGTTTTCAAGTGACTCGCTCTTGTTTTTCGAATCGGCATGCACTCAGACAGCTCTCCTGTGGTGGCATGCCCCCTTGCAACTGTTCTTTGCTTTTTCTGGCTTCTGCCAGTGGCCCAAATTACTTCCATTTCCGTGTTCATTGTTCATTGTTCATTGTTCATTGTTCATTCAACCAAAGTTCCACCCACATACTGGTTGCATGTCTCCGTACCTCCTTTGCTCAGATCTCCTGCAATGTCCCCCAGAGCCCCCTGTTTGCTCTCTCTTTGACAGGCACCACCAGCAGTTGCTCTCACATTCCCACCTCTTGATAAACTTTACTCACATCCTCCCCCTCTTCCCCCCCCTCCCCTCTCTCTCTCTCTACTCGTTGGCGCTACAAACCCCAACTCCTTTTCAACTTCCTGCTTCACTCATCCCTTCTCCTTCACTTTTCCCTCCCAAACACTGGCCATGTCCATTCATTCTTTCGTTCAGGGTGGAGCCCATTGGGTGCATTGGGCAATTGCCCTGGATGAGGTTTTGGTTTCTTTTGATGCATTGTAGTAGCACTGCAGTTATATTGTTGTGGAAGCTTATAAACTACTGCACAATGCATTACCGTAAGTGCAAAAGCATTCAACGGAGGCCTCAAAACGAGGCATTCCCGTGAAGATTTGCTGTTTACAGAGCAAAGAGAATCCTATGACGCATTTATAAAACAGACAAACCTGCTTCATATACAGACGTTCTTACTGTGGGAACCGTGTACTTGTAAAGAAAACCGCAATGTTCCTAAATCGGTCCCTCATCCAGTCAAATCCCCCCCACAGCGGTCCTCTGCGGGTGTGTCAACATGCTCAAAGCTCCCTTTTCAGCACACATGAAACGAAACCATTCCTTATGTGTTCACATCACATGCTCTCCATGTCAGCTAGCCGACCCAGCAATACGACACTCGGCCTGATGTCGTCATTCTCCTATTGAGAATAAACTAGTTGAGCCAGCTCATTTTCCAGCGTTTTGATCGTTCCTCGTTGAATATAGATAAGCCAACAGCCCGGCTTTCGATTCTCCCCGTCGAAGACAGATAGGATAGGAGCCAACACAACACGGTAGCTGCTTTCGATTTCTCCCCGTCGATTAGATAAAATAAGAGCCAACAGCCGCTCAGCTGTTGGCAGTCATGACAAAGCCGTCCGACGTGAAACCGCCGTGTGCGACTGTAGCGGCTACAGCTGGCGTCAGCGGAAGCATTGTGAGTTGCCTGGCTTGTTTCGGTACGCGCCTCACTAGATATGAGATCACCTCAGCTCGGTTTTATATTCTTCGGGCGCTTCCGACGCGAAGCGTGATTCTCGAGCATTTTGGAAAACACTTCCGGTCGCAGCGAATTCAGAATCTAACGCGAACCCGAACATTTTCGCAGATGAGATTGAATTACTGGGTACAATTGCGAGTCCCCCTCGCCCAATCCGCGCTTCATATCCCTGGTTTTTCCCCCTGACGTCAGCACTGGCTCTTCGCTCTTCTTCCACAACCCCTTCGTTTGCTCTCGTTCTTACGCTTCTTTCTGTCAGTTCGGTTCTTGAGCTGACTCAAAGTCTCCTCCGCCTTTCCACCTTTCATTCGCTTCGTTCACTCCCACCCTAACGCATCTGCCTGTCAGTTCGGAGTCATGTGGGGATTCTACAGTGGTGTCACTGATCCCAGAGGTAAGCTCGCAAGTGATATCTCAACTAATTTCATGGCGCTGATTCCTTTGTTGTTTGTCCTGCTTTGTCCTTTGGTTCCATCACAGAACAAATGTAACAACAGTGTGACGATTTCCTGTCCCCTTCCCCCCTCCCCACCCCCCCCCCCCCTTTTTTTTTCGCTTCATGGACTTGACCCTTCACCCCAAACTATCTTCTTTTTCCGTTCACCACCTCACTCCACTTTACAAACCCCTCCCCTCCCCTCCACACCCAACCCCCCCCGCACACCCTTCCAAATTCCTCTCTCAGAATTCTCTCCCCTCTTCCGTGTTGCTCATGTGGTACGTGTCCCTATCCCTATTTACCACTCCTTTACTCACCGTTTTTGCCACACCTTGGCCCCCAGTGTTCCTCGCGCTCGTCATGCATGTTCCTTTCCACCACCGCACAACAACACACATCATCACTCGCTTGAAAATGAATCATAGCAGTAAATGCTCGCGCTCATGGTTTACACTGTCACCCTCTATCACCCTCTCCATTGTTTCGCTGATGTCCCGTGGATATCCATTCATGCAACGAATCTGATAGTTAGTTCATTCCCTTCTTCCTGATTTCTTCATCTTCCTCACGTGTTGCGGCTCCACTAATCCCCATCGTCAAATCGCATCTCCATTCTGAAATCCACAGCTACCACCACCACCATTCCCCACCGCGCTTCTCCACTGTTGCTGACGACACACCAACTACTCGGCCCATTCCGTGCCTGTGTCCACCCCAGACTGGTTCGGCACTCGGGGATGGTGTGAAATTCGGTGCGCTGGCTGCTCTCTTCTCGGGAACCAGATGTGCCTCTCAGCGTGTGAGGGATCAAGATGACTGGGTGAGTGGTGGTGAAAATGAGATGAGCGGGTGAGTGGTGTTGGATTTGATGTGGTTGGAGCCGGGATAGATAGGATCCAGTGATCGAGATGCTGCACAAGGTGCCTCTTTGCACATGAGGGGTCGAGATGATTGGAGTTGGGATGGAGAGGATGGGGTGAATGGTGTGGCACAAAAGGCACGCCGGCTTCTTTCTTCTCAGGATTCCGATGTGCCTCTCAGTGACTGAGGGGTCAAGATGACTGGGTGAGTGGCAGTGGGGTAGAGGTGATTGGAGGTTGGATAGAGAGGATTGGATTGCGCGATGACTGGTTGATGATATTATTGAGGTAATGCGGCATTGGTTGGTCACCTGGTTCTGATGATCTAACCGTTATGTCCCTGCAGGTTAATTCCAGTGTAGCTGGTGCAATCTCAGGCACTGTAGTGGCCGCTACAGTGGGCCAACGAGGATGGACCATCTTACAAGCGGCTGCACTTGCAGCTATAGTAGCAGGAGCAGCAGATCGATACATAATAGGCCCAGTGGGGAATCCAGAGGTGGTGGCAGTGCCCCAACTACAGGGGCATGGGAGAGACAAAAATGAGGCTGTCAGTATATTGAGTTCATCATGGAAAGACGAATCTGAGGTTGTTTTGGGAATTCCTGAACGGATTGCCAATTATTTTGCAAAGCGTTAGTGGTATTTGTCTGCGAGTATTGCTCCTTCCAATTTGGCTAAAGAGTAATGTCATTACTCAGAAAAAAAAAATGTCTCGTTTTCACTCCCATTGAACACTGTTTTCGTTATTCACCGTCCATACTTTTCTCTGCTGGTAATGTTGCCTGTAACGAGCCCCTCCGTTTCTAGAATCAGCAGACGCGAAGCGCGTGTGCCAAATATGACGTAACATCTCTTTCCTAATTGCTCGGCGGCTTTCTGACCTGGCGCCAGGAGCAGTTTTTGGATGAGGAGAACAACTCACCCAGACCGGATAAATTTTCCACAGGGCATTGTGGCGCCACGTGGACCATCCTACAACCCTTGAAGGACGATCTTCAAGGGTTACTGCCACGTCCGATGTCAGAATGACCGCTTTTGAACGGGCTTTCGCAGATCCTGTGGCTCACAGACTTCGTCACAAGCTTTGAGCCTTCCACAGAGCTTGATGATGACTTACAACCGTTGATGTAATGTCCACTATGAATCATCGCGAGCCACAAGCGTCGCCAGGGTGTCGTCCAGCATCTTGCTTCCGTCCAGTTACCCAGCCAGGCTCCACTACATCGTTCAGGAGCCGTTGCTGCCTTGCGAATTCTGCAGCGGTTAAGCCCTCTCAGACTGTAACCACTACAGCCCGTCGTCTGTTTCGCATCCGTCGTTCGCGTCACCACCACCACCAAACCTTTCCTGTAACCTCCAATCACGTCGCGCCATTCTCCCACGAAACGAAGCCTCCATCCACCTCATCTCCAACACCTCACCCCCCACCACCCACACACCTCCCTCATCCACCTCATCCACCCACCCTGCATTTATAATCCCAAGGCTCCATTTTCACATTCAACCTTGCGTTTTCTTTACCTGCTAGAAGCTCCAACTACAGCCTGTCTCTCCTTGAACTTATTCCTAAGTTCATAAAAGATGGCTCTCTCCCTCAAGCAGGCTCTGACCGTCAGCAGCTCCGAGTTCTGCGGCAAGGCTATCCGCCAGGCCGCTGCTCCTCAGGCTGCCAAGAATGTCTCCTTCACCGTCCGCGCCGGCGGATACGAGGAGGAGCTCGTGAAGACCGCTGTAAGTTGATTACTCGTTTTCAATTTGATTATTCCTTCACCCTATCATTTGCTCTTCCTTTTTAACGTTCGTACTCTGCATCCAATTGCTTCCACATGTAATAATATAACTTTCCTGACATCTGAATATCTTCTCATGTATTTTACGTACTTATCCCTACAGAAACACATTGCCTCCCCCGGCAAGGGTATCCTCGCCATGGACGAGTCCAATGCCACCTGCGGTCTTCGTCTCGCCTCCATCGGCCTTGAGAACACCGAGGCTAACCGCCAGGCGTACCGCACCCTGCTCGTCGCCACCCCCGGCATCGGCGAGTACGTGTCCGGTGCCATCCTCTTCGAGGAGACCCTGTACCAGAACACCGTTGACGGCCAGAAGATGGTCGATGTCCTCTCCAACGCTGGCGTCCTGCCCGGCATCAAGGTCGACAAGGTACAATCCTCAACCAGCACGAAGTGATCCTTATTTTATTTTGAGTTGTTCGATATAAGAAGATGCAACGCGGGCGTTCAACGAATGTTTGATTGCATTACATCACGGCATGGATTGGAGTTCCGATTCTCATTCTCCTTTTTTTTCATTTCCGTTTATTCGCAGGGTCTTGTGCCCCTCGCCGGCTCCAACGACGAGTCTTGGTGCCAGGGTCTTGACGGCCTCGCCTCCAGGACCGCTGCCTACTACAAGCAGGGTGCTCGCTTCGCTAAGTGGAGGTCCGTCGTCTCCATCCCCAACGGTCCTTCCGAGCTCGCCGTCCAGGAGTGCTCGTGGGGTCTGGCTCGCTACGCCGCTATTTCCCAGGACAGCGGCCTCGTCCCCATCGTCGAGCCCGAGATCCTCCTCGACGGCGCTCACGGCATTGACAGGACTCTGGAGGTTGCCTCCAAGGTTTGGGCCAAGACCTTCTACTACCTGGCTGAGAACAACGTCATGTTCGAGGGTATCCTCCTGAAGCCTTCCATGGTCACCCCCGGCGCGGAGTGCCCCACCAGGGCCACCCCCGAGCAGGTTGCTGAGTACACCCTGAACATGCTCAAGAGGCGCGTGCCCCCCGCCGTCCCCGGCATCATGTTCCTGTCCGGCGGCCAGTCCGAGGTGGAGGCTACCCTCAACCTGAACGCCATGAACCAGTCCCCCAACCCGTGGCACGTGTCGTTCTCGTACGCCCGCGCTCTCCAGAACACGGTGCTGAAGACATGGAAGGGCCAGCCCGAGAACATCGAGGCTGCTCAGACTGCTCTGCTCATCCGCGCGAAGGCCAACTCCCTGGCACAGCTCGGCAAGTACTCCGCTGAGGGTGAGGCTGAGGAGGCCAAGCAGGGCATGTTCGTGGCTGGCTACTCCTACTAAACTGGTTGTGGCTTTCCCATGATGTTTTGAGTTTCTCAACTTAGTAAATATAAAAAACATAAAAATCATAACTTCGCTTCAAACATTCGAACGTATACTACTGACTGTATCTGTGGTATGCGGTAATTAGATGTTTCATGAAACCCTTGTGACCACCTACATCACCCACCCGTTGTCACTCACCTCAGGTAGTACAAAACGAACATAGCACGTTATGGACGACACATGGTACCAACATCTCAAATACATCTATGGTACAACAGTCTTCCTAGTTCTAGAATGGTTTGATTCTGCTCAGTTAGGGTTGCTAACAAGCATTTGACTCAGCTCAACTAGTTCAACAGATGTACGCTCAATAGTCACTTAGAACTTCCAGCATGCTTCAATGGGCTTGACTGTCTTGACTGCCACGACTCTCCACCACGTCCCTGCTTCAGAACCCCTGGTGATGAATGCTTGGATCGCCTCAGAGGGACAATGCTCTCATCTGCCTCGTCCGCTGTTGAGACATCCTGTTGATTCATAGCAACCGAGTCAGACCTCACTTTGACTTTCCCTGCTTGCTTCTCCCCACTTCTAGAAGAACGACTCCCAACCCCAGCTCTCCGTGACTTGGTGCTTCGGCTTCTCTCAGAACCAGAACCGGATTGGAAGCCTTTGTCCTCGTAGTATGCTACATCCAGGGATGTAGCAGCACCCATGGCAGCACTTGCTCCAGCATTGGCAGCAGCATCAGCACCTGATGCTTCCTTGCTGTCTCCCGCACTTGACTTCCGACCACTGCTAGAGCCAGCGTGCTTCTCCCGCCGTGCTCGAACCACATCCCTCAATGCAGAAACAGAGGTGACTGTCTTGGTGCCAGCTTCAAGACCAGGACCACCTGCAGTCTGCAAATCACCTCTCCGTTGTGTTGATCCAGAGCCTGACGCCTTTTTAGAAGAAGAATTACGACTCTGTGCGGTGGTCACTGGCTGCCGCAGCTTTGAAGCTGTATGAGAGGAAGACGAATGTCGGCCAGGCTCAGAGCTTCCCCCTCTCGCAACTGCCACCAGAGGATGCACAGAGGAACCAGTAAGTGGGTTTTGAGGTTCTGCAGTGGAAGGGCTTGGCGGATGATCTATGTGGGAGGAAATCCCCAACGGGGACTTGCGTGGCATTGGCAGTGAGGACGATTTGGCAGTCTCCTGGAAGTCCAGGAGCATCCCGTTAGTTGCTGATGGCTGCAGCTGTGGTGGAACAGTGACAGTGACTGCTCGGATCTTCTGGCGGGCAGACTGGAGGACCTGCAGGACAGCTGAGAGGCGAGGGGTGGCTTCCTCTGCAACCACTTTATTCTGCCCGCCTGATTGAATCAGTTCAAAATCCATGCCTTCAGCTCCTAATGCACTACCACCAGACTGTACTGTGCTGGCTGCAGCTCCAGCTGCTTCAGAAACTACTCCGCTAGACAACAGGTGCACTGTCGGTCCACCATCCCCATTCGCCTTACCATCCCAATTCTCCAACCCGTCCGACACTCCAGCAGCAGCATCCAGACTTCCTCCAGACTCCATGCTAAAAACACCATCACGCACATCATCCGCCTCTCCCACCAAGTGCAAGAGCGTACTGCCCTCCTCCGTCTCGTCCCAGGTAATCCCTCCTCCTGACAGCAATCCCATGCCAGAAATCTCGGAAGTCCTTCTGCTGCTGCTTGGACCAGGTATATCAGCATAGGCACTGGTTCCAGGAATGGTATCAGCGCCTACATTCCCCATGAATCCAGTGACCATGGCGGTTCTTGTATCAGAAGTAGCAGGTGTTGTAGCTGCATTCCTCTCCTCTGCAGGCGTCTCCTCCTTGTGAAGTAACTCACTGGTGCCTTCCCCAGCCTGACTGTTCATGCTGGTGCTTTGAAGCATGGGCAGAGGTACATCGGGATCTGAAAACGAGTGAATACTTTCCCGAGATTTGGTGCTTCGATGCAGGGGTGAGCCAGCCTCACTGTCAGAGGAGGCAGAGGGATTGGAGAACGAAAGTAGGTTCTGCGGCAGAGTGAGTGTGTGTAACGAGGGGAGTGTGCTTGGCTTATCAGGCTCATGAAGCCCAAGGGCTGAGGAGGGCAAGGGAGGTGAGAAAGCAATGCTAGCAGCCATGAGACTCGCAGATGAATTAGAGGAGGACCAAGGATGCGGTGAGGCTGTAAGTGAAGCAGCGAGGCCAGGAGGGACAAGGGTTGAAGGAGGTGGAGGAAGTATAGGGAGCTGCGCACTAGGGCCAGGTTCTATGCTCGTTGAAGAACAGCTAGCCACAGCCCCTGTTTCATAGCCCAAGGACGACTGCAGCTTTCCCCACTCTGTTGATTTGCGTAAAAGTGAAGCCAAAGGAAGGTCTTCATCTGAGGATGGAAGGCGGGGTGAGCCATTATCTGACTGAGGCTGGGAGCCGTGGGATGATGTAGCAGGGGATGCTTTAAGAGGAGAGAGAGCAAAGTCAGGCAAGCCTGCATCTGATGATGAGAAATCCGTGAGGAAGGAGGAGAGGGAGATAGACCGATCCTGCGACAGCAACTGTGGTTGTGGAACAGGTGGATAAGGCCCTTCCTCTTCTGAAAGCTCTCCAGCTGCAGCAGAACCAGAAACTCCCCGTGGTCTTTGCGCATGTACACTAGAGGCTTGCACAGCTGCCAGTGTACTTCCATCATGTTCTCCGAAGCCCTTTCCTCCAGGAACACTAACGCTGCTGGACCTCTTCCTGTCATCACCCTTTGCATCGGTCGTCGACATCCTTCCACTTGCAGCCCTGCCATTGGGCCTCCGAGCATGAGAAGGCCTCTCACTGGAAATCCTCTCACTGGACCGGTTCCCCAGAAAGCTGTCTTCAGAGGTGCGCCTAGTTGCCAGCCAGTTTACACTGTGAACGTTGCTCCATGCGCTGCTGTACGCCCTCAATCCAACTGGAGCAGCATCATCCTCGTCCAAATCGCCATCCTCAAGCTCCCTGCAGCTTTTCTCAGCTTCAGTTCCACTGCTGTCTGCCGTGATCTCCTGCTCAGCTCCATGCCTCCGTCCAATCCCATTCCTCCTGGGAGGAACATTCGCCAGACTGGCTTTCTTGTCCATCCCAGGAAGTTTCCTCTCTCCATTGTGATGCACTTCGCTGTGTTGAAGATTGCACACCCTCCGTGCCTCGCCAGGAGCATCAGAAACACAAGCCAATCTCCCAAGCCCATCGCTGCTGTTGCTGTTGTTGCTGTTGCTGGCATACAACTCCGTGCCACTGTCGTTTAGAGCAGCAGGCCCTTCGCTCAGATCACCAAAGCTTCCCACCAGTTCCACAGGGTCACAGTAACTGGATCCCGAAGCCACTTCGTGTGAGGTGATTCCTGCAATCACCTCCAGCTGCTGCAGAAAGGTAGCTCTGAAGTCATTATTACCATACTCCGCCACGTCAGAATCCTGGATAGAAGTGGAATCTTGTTCCTGTACAACCACAAAAATATGAGTAAATTGATTACATGAATTGACTCGGTACAAATAAGTTCACCTCAGATTTTGGCAAGGGCCTACCTCAGTCACTTGCTGCAGCCAGTGCATGAGGTAATTGACGCTCTCTTCTTTCTGATGATCTTGCAGGCCAGACAGCAGCGTTTCCAGGCCTTCACCAAGACGTTTCAACCTGGAAACACAAACGAAGCTGTTAGTTGAAACAAATATTAAAATAAAAACAAAAGCAGCACAGCTCAATGATATTCTTGACTAAAACGTACTTGGTTTCGTCGGGTTGTTGTGTAGCTCCTGCCAAAGCTGCATCTAGAAGGCTGGCCACGTCTTGCTTCTCAAGAATACCAGCGGAAGGACGAAGAATGTCATCACGGACACCAGGTTGAGTGTGGGTCGTCAAATGCTCCTGGCTTTCCCTCAAGACACTGGCTCGTTGCTGAGGTGGTCTGGTCCTCAAGTGTGGGAGGTTTCTCCATAAATCGACAGCTTCCCTGTCACCTCTGTTCGCTTGGACATTCTGCTGCTTTGGAAGCGTTACCTCATCCGTGCGTCTCCTTGCAACAAGATCGCTAGGAGCTACCCCTTGAGAAGGAGCGCCTGTGGTGCGTGGTGTGCTGTTGCAGCTACGGCTAGCAAATAGGCTCATCAGCATGTTGCAAACACGGCTTAGTTCACCATCTGTTCTAGCAGTTTCATGCTCTTTGCCATTGCCTCGTCTCTCCCTTTCATCAAACATCCCAGCGTCCGGGTCTTCACCCCCAGGAAACGACGGGAAGCCTCCTGATTCCTCAAGATCTCCAAGGCCCTCTGAAATCAGCGATTTGATAGTCCCATCTTCCAGCAGCTCGGTGGCAAGCATGGATGGTCTAGGGGAAACACGACTGGAAGGAGCTGGTTTAGGTGACGACAGGAGGTGATCAAGTGAGGTTCTTGACATCCCAGAAGATCTCAGTCCTGACGAAGCTGAAATTGGAGTTGATGTAACAGAGGGTGGAACAGTAGTCGAGAGAGACGGTCTTAGGTGATGCACGGCGGACCAAGAATCATCGGCACGAGAAGGACGTCGTAAGGAGTCAGCCATTGAAGTGAATCATTCAGGAAGTTCAGGAGAGGAAAGCCGAGACGTCAATGGAGAAAACGAATCAATTCAGCAACAAGATGTCACGAGGAACGTTGACGCTCTGTACGGAATCAACATAGAAAAAGAGACTGGACAACGAGCAGTCAGCTAAAAAACTTCCGTTCTGAGGATCCGTCGTTAGCAGTGAACAAAACTATGGCCACTTCAAATCCCTAAGGACTTCCTAGCAAACTTGACGAAGAAATCACTGCTAGTGACAGCATGCATGATGTTTCTTCTGAGGCCTGAGAGAATTTCAAGTCTAGCTCCCTCATAGCCTATGACAAGGTAATGGCGGACGTGATGTGGTAGCGTAGAATAGGCCAGCAGTTCAAGAATCATGGGAGTGCAGTGCTGCGGAAGACGGACGTCAAGGGGATAAGGACGGGGCAAGGCATCTGCAACGACGGAATCTTCCTGTCCATTCATTATCCGACATATACACTCTCGTCGCTCTTCTTCTGACGGAAACATTGCCATGCTGTTCGCCATGCTCAAGTTGTGTATCATTTCGTCTGTCCCAGCCTCCGTTGACGGAGACAATCGACATCTCCGACAGGGTCATTCGGGACGCAAGGCAATTTTGACTTCGAGTCTCTGGCCTAACGGCGGAATGAGGAACCAGCCTTTCCTGATTCCGCGCAGCTCTGTCACGATTGGCTGCTGGAGGCGCGGGTCGACGTCAACGGAGCTGTTTTCTGTCACTCGACAATTTCAAGGCGCGGCTCTGGCTTTGCAGGCAGACTCTCTTCTGTGTCTCTCAATCAGACAGATATTCCCGAGGGAGCTTTGGGGGAGGGTAGATTGTGCGAAATTCGTCATGCGACACCCACATCTGGCCAAATCTCTTTGCGAAGCCCCCCCAGCAAAACAGGTATTTTTTTCGCAACGGCAAACCATTTTCGCCTAGGGTAGTAAACGATCTTCGCAAGCGGCACAAGTCCGCAATAACACCTTTTTCTGTTCAGTTTCACCTATCACCAGTCATATGTCCCCAACTAAACTTCATGGCGGAAAAACTTCCCCACTCTAGTCAGAATGTAATCTGCTCTTCAGAATGGGAAGCCTCTCCTCTACAACGTCACTTTCTGATGAGGCTTCGCGCAGCGGAAACTTCGCTCAAGCACTTGAATCCCGTGAAACGCCTGACAACTTCACCCACAGAAGCCGATTTTGAGCTCAGTTGTCGAGGGTTTCACTGTCAGCCAGTAGTGATGCCAGCGGACTGGTTACCACCATGGACGAAGATTCTCCAGGCTCCGAGTGTTACGGATGGACTAGAAGGTCTTCTCGGCGACGAAGTAGAGGTGAGCAGAATTCAGGTCTCTTGACGGTATTGAGCTAGCCAAGGGATCTGCACGTGATTGCATTAAAAACAAGCTGTGTTAGGTTCAGATAGGTCCTTATACCGTCTGCGAGCTTTTCATTCGCTCCTCTGTGGTTAAGTCTGTTTTCCACTTCTTCCCTGCGTCTCCTCTGCCTCTCCTCTCCCTCTCCCCTCCCTCTCCCCTGCCTCTCGCCTGCCTCTCCTCTTCCCCGCTTCTGCCTCTCCTGTCCCTCTTTCTTTCCTGCCTCTCCTCTTCCCCTCTTCTGCTTCTCCTCCCCCCTGTTTCCTGCCTCTCATCTCTCTCTCTTTCCTGCCTCTCCCCTTCCTCTCTTTCGCCTCTCGTCTTCCTCTCCTTTGACTCTCCTCTTCCTCGCCTTTGCATCTCCCTGCCTTCCTCAGCCAGGTTGAAGTCTTCCGCCTCGATTTCCGTAGCCACAGCAGGAACACCAAATCAGTGGTATCATCAACGGACAAGAGGGCGTCTTGCGATGTGGAAACAGAAGGAGCAGGGTTTGCAGAAGCAGGAGAGACGAAGAAGCGGAGGTGTGCGGGATTCATTAGCATTCTTGCCAGTGGCGATGCGGCTGTGCAATCCTGCGAGGTACCAGCACCATCATCAACAGCAGCAGCAGCAGCAGCAGCAGCAGCAGCAGCAGCAGCAGCAGCAGCAGCAGCAGCAGCAGCAGCAGCAGCAGCAGCAGCAGCAGCAGCAGCAGCAGCAGCAGCAGCAGCAGCAGCAGCAGCAGCAGCAGCAGTACCTGCTGTCATCGATCCATCCATCAGCAAGACAAGTGAAATCAAAGGAGCAGCAAGGCACATGTACCTTGTACCAACGTCCGAACGAGAATCAGCACCAGCATTGCGTTTCTCCTACCTTCCACATTCCACTGTGCAAATTATGCCTCTGGGCCGATTCCTATCGACCTGCAGAGGAACCTCTGCCCAGCCATCCACTCAACCATCCAAGTCATCAGAGCCGCCCTTGCCAGCATGGCAACTGATGTATCTGACGTGGCGTGCGCTTCCCCAATCATCTGCGTCCATAAAATTAGGCAGTGAGCTCACTCCCACTGACAAATGTCAGGAACCATCAAGCAGCAGAAACATTCCCGGAGGGGAGGATCAGACAGGTGCCCAGTCATCAGAGTCGCTAGATTGTTTAGTATCAGATGAGCAGCAGTCCAATGGGAGCACGCCACATGGGTTCCAAACATTCATAGACCAGCTGCTGCTCCCCACGCTTTCTCCTCCGTTCCTCGAAGCCCTCAGACAACAGGAAGCACGATGCAACAAAAGGGAAGAGACTGGTGGCAAAAGGAGCCAGGGGAGGGCCAAGGGATCAGGGGCTGCAGAAGGTGTGGCTGGTGGTCGCGAGCAGTGGAACTTGTGGTTGGGACGGAGTGCCACGAGTCAGCTTCACTTTGATGCCATGGACAATGTCCACGTGTGCTTGCAGGGCAGCAAGATCGTTCATCTCTACAGCCCCGCCGATTCCATCTTTCTGTATCCTGTGTCCTGGAGTGATGGTACGTTGATCCTCGTTATACTATATGTACCTACCATTATTGTTTGCATATCTGCCCTTAATCGGCCTGATTCTTTGTATTCTGAACTGGCAGGTTCTATCAACAACAAGATGTCTCTGCCTTCCATTCTCACTGCATGTCCAGAAAACCATCCCCTTTTTTTCTCTCATGCTACATGTTACCGAGTTCAGGTGACATCTCTTATTGCTGCTGCTTTCACAGTCTTTTCACCGGGATTATATGAGAAATATATGTAAGAAAATTTCCCTTCTTTTGTTGGTGCCTCTGTACAGCTAATGGAGAGAGAAGCGATCTTCATACCAGCAGGATGGTGGCACGAGGTGAGGGAGGCAGCACTATATCTTGTCCCATTGCAAACACGGGAATGGGTACCTTGATCTCATCTCTCATTCATATCTCTTGCAGGTTTTCACATTTGGTCCCATGACTGTTTCTGCCAATGTTTGGTTTCCACCCCATCCATCATGTCGACTCAGGCCCACTCTGATGATGCTTCACTCGGTAAGTGCATTTTACCAGTAGGTGGTGAAACAGATCTCAAATCTGAACTCTTTCAATCGTTTACAAAACAAGCTGGTGGTGTGTTGTTTGCAGCACCGCATACTGCAACACATGCAGGCAGCTTGGAGAGGGACCTCGCCAGGCACTCCGAATCGTGAGCAGCAGAAATTGAAGCATGCACATGATGCTGTTATAACTGAAGGATCATAGTGGACAGGATAAGTTTGTCAAATTTGAGAGAAGACGATGAAGTCTCTGTAATGACCTTGTTAACAAAGTTGAAAGAAACAAGATAATTATAAGAGAGAAGTATAAGGGTATAAATAGCAGTCCTAGCTAGCCATGTACTCTGAGGGGTACATTCCCTTATTAATCGAATTGAATTGCTACAGTAACCACGACTATTGCTCTTCTTGACAGTTACCATGTTGCATTACGTAACTACCAAGTGCGGTTACTGGTCGGTCAAGAGTCACGACCGTTGACTACCGTATCTTCGACTATTGACCTTCGGGTGACTCTCGATCTTCCGCATGCTCTATATGAGCTATTGCGGTACTGGTACAGACACGTTGATTCGTTATGAAGTGACGCGTGAGGGGAGATGCTTTGGGAATATGAATAATTTAGAAATATATTTCTAAATTTAATGATTGTGACAAGCTTCGAAAAAAGGCTGAATGTGTAACCCTGTGACGACCGCTGCGTAGCCAAGTCGTCAACCCAGGAGGCGTCTGCGTGACCAGTGAGGACAACTCGAGCCCGTCCTCCAAGCACGAGCCCCATGCCCGACGTACTGCACAAGTAGCGCAACACCCTCTTCGCAGCATCCCAGTGCACCTTTCGGTGCCTACCGGGAGCCACGTAGCGAGCCAGAAGGCTGAGAGGGTATGCGAGGTCAGGTCGTGTGCAAGTCATCAGGTACATGAGGCAGCCCACGAGCTCTGGATACGGGCCACTCGGCTCTACGGACTCGTCCGAAGGTGGAGCTGAGAGCGAGTGACCGGTAGGCAGAGGAGTGGACTGTGGCGAGGAGTACGTGAAGCCGAAGCGCTGAAGGACCTGCTGCACCATGTGTGACTGAGTCAAGGTAATGGTGCGCTGTGCTCTGTCCCAGGTGATCCGCAAGCCAAGATAGCTTGTCAGCTCACACAGGTCTGTGCACGAGTGTCTCTTCTGCAGCTCGGACTTCACGTGGGCGAGTGCCTCAGTGTCAGCAGTAGCAAAGACCAAGTCGTCTACGTACACGAGAACGTAGAACGACGGCAGAGTGGTGTCAGTGCGTAAAAACAGCGACGGGTCAGCAGTGGAAGGAGCAAAACCAAGAGCAGCAAGAGTCGTCCTCAGTGTGTCGTGCCACTCACGGGGTGCCTGGCGGAGACCGTAGACTGGCCGCCGGAGGCTCCACAGGGTACCAGCAGGAAACGACCCAGTGAAGCCAGGTGGGCGGCGCAGCCAGATCTCCTCGTGCAGGCTGCCCTGTAGGAAGGCTGTGCTGAAGTCAAGCGAGTGGAGCTCGTAGTCACGGTGAGCGGCGACGTGCAGCAGTACCCGAAGAGTGGTCATCTTCGGGGTAGGGGAGAAGGTATGGAAGAAGTCAACTCCCTGTCGCTGACTGAAGCCACGTGCAACGTAACACGCCTTGAAGACAGGCGGAGAACCCGGCGGCCGCTTCACCCTGAAGATCCACATGCCACTGACGATGTTCGCCCCAGGCGGGGGAACCTCGTCGACGTAGGTGCCTGTGGACTTCCAGGAAGCCATCTCGGCGTCCATGGCTGCCTGCCATTGAGAGGAGTAGGGACCCTCTATCGCCTCTGCGTAAGAGCGCGGGGTCGGGATGTCTGGTGCATCCGGGTCTCCCTCAGGGGCAAGCAGCATGGACACGAGATGACGTACAGCAGCTGCAAAGCACTCAAACTCCTCCAGTCTGTCCTCAAGAACGTCCGTGCCAAGAGCACACTCACCCCCGACGGACGGAAGACAGACAGACTCAGACGCAGACTCAGCAACAAGACTAGTGGCAAAGTCTAGGCGACAGGCTGCAGCAAAGTCAACAAGCTCAGCAACTAGAGCAGACGCAGTAGTGGACTCAAACAAAGGGTCAGTGACAGCAGTGGCCAGAAAGCGCGAGACAGTAGGACTAGCAGCACGAAGGGAGTCAGACTCCGGGTCCGGACCGTCAGGAAGAGAGGTCGCAGGAGGAGACGGCAGAGGGAAACGCTGTGGAGCAGTGGAAGGACGCAGTGTCATAGAGTGAGTGCCAGGGACAGGAGGAGGACGCGGACGCGAAACACGACGACCAGCGCGAAAAGTGCGGACAGGCAACGCAGATTGAGACTCAGGTGATGCAGGACGAGACTCAGGCGACACAGGACGCGACTCAGGCTCACGACGCTCCGTAAGACCTCTAGTCGGTCCAGAGTAAGGAGAAGGACCAGGCAATGGAGAGGTCGGCTGTAACTGCGACTGTGACTGGACAGGCGGTGGACTCAGTAAAGGAGGAGCAGGACCAGGAGAAGGCGGGAGACCAAGAACCTGCTGAAGGAGCGGAATGTAGTACGACCACGGCCGCGCAGCGCCTCCAGAAACAGCAGAGACAGCACCAGTACCTTCAGCTCCAGGGTCGCCAGCTACAACTCCCGCAGTACCACCAGCTCCAGTACCTACAGCAGCTCCAGCTCCAGAAGCACCTCCAGTAGCAACAGCTCCAGCACCTACAGCTCCAACTGCTACAGAACCACCAGCCCCAGCAGCTCCAGTACCTCCAGTACGAGCACCTCCAGGACCAGCTGCTCCAGCACCTCCAGCAGCTCCAGAAGCACCTCTAGCAGCTCCAGCACCAGTAGCACCTCCAGCAGCTCCAGCAGCACCTCCGGCACCAGCAGCACCAGCAACTCCAGCACCAGCAGCACCTCCAGCAGCTCCAGAAGCACCTCCAGCAGCTCTAGCACCAGCAGCACCTCCAGCAGCACCTCCAGCATCAGCAGCACCAGCAGCACCTCGACACCGCCGAGCGTACCACTCACGAAGCTGCTGCGGAGAGAGTGGCTCCCGCCGCGACGGGACACCCGGAGGACCTCCAGACGCAGCACGCTCACGCTTAGCACCCCCAGGCTCAGCACTCCCAGACTCAGCACCCCCAGGCTCCACACGCTCAGGCTTAGCACCCCCAGGCTCCGCACCCTCAGACACAGAAACCCCAGGCTCAGCACCCCCAGTCCCCGCACCCACAGGCTCAGCACCCCTAGCAGCACCTGAGTCGACAGCTACCTCGACCGGCTCGGCAGGGTCTACCTGGGACACACCTGAGTGGGCAGGACCCTGAGGGGGGAGGGGGTCTACCGGAGGAGTACCTGGTGCTAGGAAGAGTGGCGGGGGGGGGGGGGAGAGGCAGTGCGTTAGGGAAAGAGACGGTAGTAGGACACCGACTCGTCAAACGTGACGTCCTGAGAGGACAGAACACGACGCGAGGTGGGGTGGTAGAACTGCCACCCGGGTGCGTCAGGGGGGAAGCCAAGGAAGACGCAGGGAACGACACGGGAGGACAGCTTGTCCGCTGAAGTATCGCGGACAAAAGCTCGAGATCCCCAGACACGGAACACAGACGCATCGCCAACCTTCCCCGTCCACCGCAGAGTAGGTGTGGTCTCCGGCAAGGAGACACGAGGCTAAAGGTTGATTTGATGCGCAGTGTACTGAACCGCGAACGGCCACAGAAAATGGGGAGCACCCGCATGGATCATGGACGTACGAGCGACGTCCATGACCATGCCAATGCGGCGCTCAGAAATCCCATTTTGCTGTGGAGAGGCCGGAAGCGTGAACGTCTGGCGGATGCCCTCCGCACGACAGAAGGCCCTCAGGAGGTCGGAGGAAAACTCACCACCTCTGTCTGAGTGCAGACGCAGAACAGAGGGTCCGAGCCGAAACGCTCGCTGAGCTGGCGACGGGTACCGCGGATCCAGTCGATCAACACCTCAGTGACCTCACCCTTGCTGCGCAAGGGGAAGACTGTGGTGTAACGCGAGTAGTCGTCAACGACCAGCAGGAAGTAACGCTCGTGACCCTGTCCACGGACGCGGGCTGGGCCCCACACGTCCATGTGAAGAGTCTGCAGGGGAGCCTCTGTCGGAGGGAACGTGGAGGAGTGAGGAGAGGCATGTTGTCGGCCCTCGACACACGGAACACAGGTAGGGGCAGACCCCGAAGGAAGGGGAGGGAGGGACCGGGGGAGACCCGAGACAAGGGTACGGGAGGCCATACCTCGAAGACGAGGCAGGGAGGGGTGACCAAGGCGGTGGTGCCAAAGGAGAGTCTCGTGCGACAGAGGACGACACGAGCAGGGGGCAGACTCAGGACTAGACCTGGACGCGGCAACAAACACCTGACTAGACGCGGCTACCTGACCAGACTTAGTGACCGGAGGAGACGCAGTAGTCAGTGTGTACAGACTCGACCCAGGCCGACGGGTGAACGTGGCCAGGTGGCGGCCCGTCCTAGAGCAAGTGCAGTGGGTCACACGCTGACCTCCAGGGGTGAACTGGTCGACCCACGCGTCCTGGAGGTCAGCTCCACTCACCAGGTTCGTAGAGAACGAGGGGAGGTGGAGTCCCGACAGCAAGCCCGACGGGGCGGCAGGACATGGTAGAACCGTGGAAGAGTGCGCAAGGACTGGGCCCCCAGAGGGGTCAGCCAGAGAGACTGCGACAGGCCGACTGAGCAGCGTGAGTGTGGTGCTGTCGCGGAAGAAGGAGCGCGAAGCACCAGAGTCAAGTGTGAAAGTTTGCAAGGCCTTCGTAGGTGCAGTACCAGAGAGAGCAGACTCACCAGCACCTGGAGAAGAAGACTCACCAGTACCTGGAGCAGCAGACACACTAGCACCTAGAGCAGCATCCTCAATGCCCGGGTCCGGCGGGACACTCAGGTAACAGTCACCCTCAGCACTATCAGTCACAGCATACATGGCAGCAAGGATAGCATCGAAATCAAGATCAAAG